TGGAGGTGGGCTGGGAGGATAGGGACAGGGGCTGAGAAACAACCCCGTTGAAGGCTTTGAATTGTATTGAAATGCAGAGGGAAGGAAGCCACTGAGGGTTTTGAGGGTAACAGGATCTTGATTCCACTTTAAGCTGCTCTCTGGTTGCTGGGCGGAGAAGGGAGATGATGATGGAAGAGCTGAGGGTCACAGGGAGGCCTGGGAGGCGCCTCCTGCAAAAGGCCCAGGCTGGGGACCTCAGACAGAACAGACAATCTGGGAAGGGAGCAGGACGAGACTATCTGAAATACATTTCCAAGGCAGAAAAGTAGCATGCCTGGCCTGCTTCCCCACTTAGCACATAAGCTCCATGTGGGCAGGGGTCCTGTTTACTGCTCTTTCCCCAGGACGTAGCACAGCATTTAATAATCCTGTGTTTGAAAACAGGGAGCGAAGTAATACCGGAGGGAGAAGGTGAGATTATGGCTGCGCTCTTCCACCCGGCTTCCGGTCAGCTGTAGCGTGTGTGGACAGAGGAAAGGAAGGCAGAGGGAGAAATCGGAGGTCTGTGGAGCATCAGGAAAGACGCTGCGCCAGGGCCACACAGGCACTGTTGAGAGCAGCATGAGATGAAGGTGCTCCACTGTGTGCTTGTTGAATGACTGACTGAATGGATGTGAGAGGGGATTTCTGAAATGGGGCTAGAAATAGGGATGCTATCAGCATCTATAAATGCTTAAAGCATGGGAGCGGGTAAGGTCACCTAGGAGTATGGAAGAGAAAGGGGGCCCTCCCAACAACCAGGGACTGTTGCATTAGGTAGCAGGGACCCAAATTCAACCAAGACCAAGACTGCATTTCCAGTAATCTAGTCACAATGACCCTAGTACATACTTTAACCACGCACCTCCCAGGAGTCCCTGGAAAGGCAAGCAGATGCCTGGAAGAAGGTAAAACTGGGGTACTTAAGAGACAGCCAGGTCTCGAGTCCTCGAGACAGTCCTCGGGAGCAATGCATGTCGTTTGGGCCTGAGTGTGCTGACTGCAGTCCTCAGGGACTGGGCTAGCTCACCGGCCAACTAGGGTGAGAGCACTGTCATGCACAAAGGGCTGGGAGCCCTGAGCTAAACACAGGTGCTCACGGTGACAATGCCACAGGGATCCCTGGGGGCTGGTGGTGGGTCACATGGCAACCCAAGTCCATGTCTACTGAGTCATTGCTGTCTAGTAATGTCTCAGATGTTCTCTGTCGGGGCAGGGAATCTGGGAAAGTCTCATCAGGAAAGGAGTTCATCCGAGTCTTCACTGAATCTCTAAGTTCTCGGCCTGCCCCAGCTGAGTAAGCCTTCCAGTCAGAGGTCTGACCACCTTGCACGCCACGCAGAAATCCTTCCCACAGCCAGCACTTGGCTCCTGGGGTTCCCTCATACTTCTAGGAATGGAGTTCCCCTTAGCCTATAGGGGAGTCTGTTCCTAACCGTTTCTAAGTTGTTTTGTTAGGAAGCTTGATTTCGGAAGGCTTGGAAGACCTTGACCAGGTGTTCACAGTGCCACCTCTTGGGGGACAGGGAAGTGCAGGGAAGGAGATCCAGCCTTCTCTGCTGAGTTGGTGTGGAAGAGCTTCTAACATTTCCTACCAAGTCTGTGAAGGAAGCAAAAATAAGGGGTGTGTGTATCTGTGCGCGCACACACGCCACAACCTCGGGTGTCGATCCTCACGAGCCATGCACCTTTGTTTTTCAGACAGGATCTCTTGCTGGCCTGGGACTTGATAGTGGACTAGCCTAGCCAGCCAGCGAGCTTCGAGGATCTGCCTGTCCTGCCTCCCAGTGTCAGAATGACAAACACACGCCACCATGTTCAGCTTTTTAAAGATGGAGATTCTGGGGATCAAATGCAAGTCCTCCTGCTTGAAAAGCAAGTACTTTATTGACTAAGCCAGCGCCCCAACCCCAGAATAGCTCTTTTCATTTGACCTCCTTAACATCTCTACCAATAACCGATACCCCTACTGCAGTGTTCGCCAAATACCCGAACCCAGGCGCCGGTTTTCCACCAGATCTTCTCCAGGACAAGCTGCTCCTCCTGGCCCCTGGTTTTCAGGCCAGTCCCACCCAGGCTTCCCTTCTGTGTGTCACTGGGAAGGGACTTGTCACTCCCTGAGCTAGATGTTGCCACCTGGTCATTAATTAATGAAGTCAAGATGTCCCTTCTTCCCCAGGGTGTGTGTGTGTGTGTGTGTGTTTACACAGACACGAGAGAGTGAATTAAACCCACTTTCATCAGCCCTGGTTTTCTTATCTTCTAAGAGGGAACCATACTTTTGCTAAAGGCGTCAATTGAGATTAAGTAGATGAAAAACATTCTAAGTTCCACACCAGGGGTTTTTCCTCCCAAGCCTTCCCCCAGTTTAGATGCTGTCCAGGCACTGGGGCAGTAGAGACATTCTGTTGGGCCTCAGTGTCGGCTATGGTGGCTCTTCCAGGGCTGTAATTCTGGAGAAATGACCTTAGATGAAGTGCTGCATTTTCTTCTCTGTGGAGCAAAGCGTCACGTCAACTTCGGAATGCATTTCCATGCACATTACACGCGTGTCTCAGGCGAAACACACGCATGCTATTTAATCAGTTCCTTGTCTCCTCTGTCAAAAGAAAGGGAGGCTAATCCATAGCACTGCTTTTGAAACGGGAAGGCATCAAACCAAACTGCTGCTGTTGGCTGAAGGTTGCACCACAGGAACCGCCCCCCATCTATATTCGTTTAAATGCAATGAATTTTAGTAATTTATTTATTTGTGTACATGTGGAGGTCCAAGGATGACTCGCAGGAATCAGTTCAGTCCCTCCACCATGAGAGTCCTACGGATCGAACTCAGGGCTGTCAGGCCCGGCAACAAGGGTCTCTACCCACTGAGCAATCCTGCCAGCTCAGTGAGCGGTGGTAATCTGTGCAGAAAACTTCCTGGCACCACCTAGCATCATTCTCCTACAGCTCAGCATACCAACTGCTATGACAGTTATGACAATGAGGAATGGAGGTTCGGGCGACCTAGGCAACACGGGACTAAGAAGTCACAGATCTGAGATTCCCATCCGAGTCCCTCTGACTCTAAAAACCCACCCCGGCACAGTGATTCTGTTCTCTAAGGCAGCCCCTAAGTTAGGACTCAGTGTGGGCCCCAGGGAGAGCAGAAGCCTACCATGTGTCTCCCTTCATGGTGCAGCTTCGGGGACACGTGGGCTACTCTGCATCTGCCCATTCCAGAGTTTTGAAGGTGTCACTGCATATCCCAGCCACATCCCCGTAGGTCCCCTTGGGATGTTCCTGGCATCCAATGCTCATGTGCTGTTTGCTAGGTTCTTAGCCCATAAATATGGATTCATGTTAAAAAAAAACAAAACAAAATAAAAAATAAAAAAAACCCAGCTAAAGTAAAAAACAGCCATTCTGGATGTGGGCCCTGATGCGTAATGTCATTAGGGAGTCAGCAGTACATCCCATCCCATTATCGCCTGGCCAAGCTTCTCCGAGCAGCCTGGCTGCAAATGGCTTTCTCTTGGGGGGAGGGAGAGCACAGCCCTATCTGCCCTCCAGTTGGAGGAGAGATTTCATCTTTAATTGACAACTGGCCGCCTGCCACCACCCTGCCTCTACTGTTGGCCCAGGCTCGTGGCTGGTTTTCCATGCCACTTCAGGAATAGGCTTCCCCTTGTTTCTTCCTTCCCCAGGGCCCTGCGGTCTTCACCCTGCCATTCTGTATTGCCCTAGACAGCTCCTGGTGTGCTCTTGTCTTTTCTGAGTGTGTTTGGACATGAAGAAAATCTGCAGAAAAAAAAAAAAAAAAGCCTGAACTGAAGGCAAGGGTGAGGGGGGGAGCTAGAATTTATGGGCGATCTCCTGTCTCCTGTATGCTCTGTGCAGACACCTGACCTTGGGCCAGGCTGTTAAGCTGTCTTTGGAATAAGCACCATTATTTTACAGGCATGAAAACAGAGCTGAGGAGTTACCCCCAAGATTCCCAGCTACTAAGGGGCAGACCAAGACTAAATGGAGGCCCCTATGGAGGTTTATTTAGACAGTGGGGAGTAGGGAGACGAGGACATGCACCTGGACCTGGCTGTGTGATTTGTAGAGCCCAGGACAAACGAAACCACAGATCTTTCTGAGGATCAGTGATGACAGTATGGGGATACCTTCTGGGTGACGGCAGGGCTGCGCATCCATAACGCCAGCCTCGTGTATGCCCCTACGCCGGGGTGAAAGGAATAGTGAGGATCACCAGTGTTCAAGAACTTGCCACCTCCCTAGTCCATGTACTCCAGGTCTGCCCATTCTCCATCCCCAAGGGCCCCTTGGTTGTATCACACCGGTCCAGTGTTGGCTTTGGTCCTTCAGCCCTTCATGCAGTCCTTGGAATGGCTGGCCTCCCCAGAGCCTTGGCCCACTTAAAACTGATGCAGTCGCAGGGAAGTCCCTGTACGAACAAGCAGGCATACAGTAGACTTCCCTACACACAGAAGACTTATTCCATGCTATGGTGTGTGTGGGAGGGGGAGGGGTCGCTCAGGTGGCAGCAGCAGAATCAGGACACTGCCCAGGAGTGAGGGGTTCAGTGTTATGCCCTTGGCTGCCTTGAGCAGCCTCACTTTTGAGTACTTCCTGCTAGCTGTAAAATGCAGGAGCTGGGTCACAGGGAGGATCCCTGGTAGGTGAGTGCAATCCTTAGATGCAGATGGGAGGTTGTTTGGAACTCAGGGAGGCCTCCCCCCACCACAGACCCACAGCCAGAAAAGAGAGGCGAGGCAGATGCTCACAGAGGAGCAGCAGGACACTTGGATGTCTTTATTGGTGCTCGAGCACAGCATGACAGTTGAGGGCATGCAGACAGGGCACTAGGGGCCCGGCCTAGGCGTGCCTCAGACACACACGAGGGAACAGCTTTAGAAAAGGACTGACCAATACCAAGGGTGGGCAGGAAGGGCCGAGGGAGGGGCAGAGGCCAAGGCTGAAGGGGTCACCTGGCCTTTGCTATTGCACGCATCCTCTGGCCGCCGGCCAGGAAGTACAGTATTGCGACTGGTCTCCTCTCGCCCAAGGTGTCCCCTTCTCAGACCCCTGAGCCAGATGGGCAAACAGATCCCCTTCCATCTGCCCAGCAGCATCTTTGAAAACAAACGGACAAAGGAGACTCACACAAAAGAAATAAAACTCCCCTCTGTCAAGGGCACAGATGGGGGTGCTGGAAGGAGCTACAGAGGCTACAGAAGAGCCCCTGGAAGTGCCCCCAGTGTGGGGTGGGAGGTAGAACCCCAATCTGGGGTGGGGTTGGGCTAGTGAAGCAGTGACCCTGGAGCGCAATCTTGCCTTAGCAGACTTCAACAGGCCACCTGCTGGCAGGGGAAACACCCCCAACTGAGAGCAGCCTGGGACCACCCAGCTGGAGGGGCAGGTGCCAGGCCCACTACTTTCCCTGGGACATTCCATACAACACGGTCAGAAGGAACAATCCATGAAGGAAGAGGGGAGAGGACACAGGGTGGGAAGAAAACTTGGGAGACATAGCCTAACAACGAAGAGAGACCACCAGTAGCACGTGCACTACACACGAGAGTATATAGTACGTATGAATATAGATACTATATGTGCATATATGTCTCTTCAATGTACAGTAGAACAGAGCATCAGACCCAGATGGCTCTGGGGCCCGAGAGTCGCATGGGAGGTTTTTCCACCAGGTCTGTGCAAACAAGGATATCTGAGTCTTTTTCCCAGCAAAAGATTCGTGCCTGGGTTCCAGAGTTTCCCTAAGCCTCTGGCTTCCTGTCTGTCTGCCTGTCTTTCTCACGTTGGTGCCGCCTTAAGAGAGGGTGAGGACTTCAGCGTGGGCATAGTTGGACGAGAGGGCGTCTTGGCAGGTCTCTGTGTTTAAAGAGCACAGGTGTGAGACACTGGGACGCACGCTTTCAGTTCAACATTGCCTTCTGGGGGGGGGTCAAGAGTTCAGCAAAAGAAAGGGAGAAACAAAGAGTGAGATGTTAGAAGGAAGCCAGCCAGCTGCTGACCCACGGGCTGTGGGCTAAGGAACAGCCAAGAGCAGAGCTGGAAGGCATAGGGGACCCAGGGCTACGAGGCAAGGAAGAACCGGGGTGGTACAGCAAGTGGGGTGAAACCTTCATCTCTCCTCTGCCAACCCACCCCCAGGCCGAGGAGACTCGGGTGCCGCTGAAACTCAGGTAGCCATTTGCAAGAACTACTAGCCTTTCAGGTCTTTGGAGTTCTACTGCGGCAGGGAGAGGAACCATAGCAGATCCACAGAGCCCAGCAGGGAGGCAGCGGTGAAAATCCCTGCTGTAGACTATGGCTCACGGCCCCTCACTCCAACTGCCCTCTGCTCTCCTTGTGCTCTCCCCCAAATAGCCCCCCATCTGCCCTCACCACCATGGACAACCCCACTGTCCCAAGGAGCCAGTGAAGACGGCTCTAGAGTGGGAAGACACGTCACACCCAGCCCCTGGACCTCAAAGTGATAGGCAGAGTCCTGGGGCGTGGGTATGGAAGGCACATTGCCTCGGGAGAGCAGGCTGGCACATGGCATCAGCTTCAGATATCTGAGGCTTGGGTCTTCTTCCCTATCTCCCAGCAGCAGTACTGGCTAGACAGCTAGAGAGGCTGAGCTAACAGTGTGGTGAAGTTTCAACCCCAAGGCTGATTAGTACAGCTATTTAGTTTGTCATTTGGCATCCAAGCCTCACCGCTTCTACACTAGGGTTCCCTGACATGTTAAAGGCTTTTTAATATATATATACATATGTTTGTATATGTATGTATATAGTATATATAGAATATGCATATATATATATTCTCATTTCAGCATGACCCGTTACCATCTCCATAAGACTGTGGCCCCAACCGGCTCTGTCTGGCACAGTCTGAAAGGTAAGGCTCTGAGTTTGCTCCTAGGCTGCCTGCTTGTTCTTTAAGCAGGGCCCCAGACCCCAGCTACAGGGACATGTTCTAAAAGCAAAAGCAACAGGTCCAATTCCAAGTCCAATGCAAAAACAAGCTAACGCACGTTTTTGGTTCAACATGGCCTTCTGGGGGTGTCTCCGTGAGATAAACCTTTCTCCTTGTGAAGGACATTCAACACCTGGATGGATCTGAGGCTTGTATAGGCAACTGCCATAACAGATTTTTTTTTCTTTCCTGGGACCCTGGGCAAACACAAAAGTCCTAAGAGGTAGCTGAGGACAAATAACTCACCTAGTTCTTCCACCAACTGGGCCCTGCCTCTTCCCTTTGGAGCCAGGAGATTAGGGGTGGGTATAGGAGCCCATCTCTCCAAACAAATGCTAGGGGCTTCAACCTGGCAGATGCACTGTGTCTCCCAGGGACATCTGGGCCCCCCACAGGGGTGCTGTAAGCATGCCCATCCTTGTAGGAGGGAAGAAGGGAGGAGGCGGTGGGTGCCGTGGAAACCTGGGTTCCGAACAGCTTGAGGGTTGCCACAGAAATAGCTGCCTCGGTTCCCCAAACCAGAACGGCAAGCCAGAGAAAATAGCGCTGTGGTACCCGTACTAAACTGGACACCTGGCTCCTCCTGTCAGACCACAGTCTCCTGATGCCAGGAGACACGCTGGGTGGGGCCCAATCTACCACAAGGAGGCTCGATTCAGACTCAGCCTGCTTCCCAGTATCTCCTCATCTTACCTCTCAGAAAACACCCCCTTCTGAGAGCCAGTAGCTGCAGACCCTGTAGAGCACGGCTGAACCGAGTGTGCCAGGGCCTGATCTAGCAGAACTTCCGAAGGTCAGCCAGTGCTTGCTCATGCGACAGTGCCTGTCACAGGCTTTGCAAAGCTCCAACCTCTGGAAACGATTTACATTTATGCCTGGACCACCTTCTGTGATGACCGCCCCCTGGCTTTCCAGTTTCCTGCCAGGTCCCTCAAGTTGTCTCACCAGGTCCCTTTATTACCCTGTAGGGAGCAGATATGGACCTTCCTTAGCCACGCCCTTTTCAAAGTTGCATAAGCAGACTCTAAGATAGCCAAGCACGTGGCTCTGCTGTCAGGTCAATTCCCATCAGGTGAAGCAGGGAGGCTTGGTAGAGGCTTTTGTCCTTTAGCCCTGGGCTGAGGGAGGGGCTTATTGGGAGCAGGAGGGGCCAGGTGGCAGGTGTGGGTAGGAGCTCCCGTCTCCTCACTTCCCCTCAGCTGTCTCTGTGCAAGGTGTACCCCTGCTCACCCAATGACTCACAAACCTGTTGTGCTCCCGGGCTCGTTAGGTAAATGAATACACTTAATTATAGAAATTAGATGAGTCTCCGGTTCTGGCAGGAATACAGAGCAGAGGCTGGGTGGGAGTGGCAGGTGACTCAGAGGCAGGGCTGGGAATGGGAGGGAGCCGGAGAGAGGGAGCAAACTGTCGCTGAAGCAGAGGAAGCAGTGTGGAGATGCTGCAGCGCAGGGCACAGATGGGATGCTGGGTGTCACCCGCTGAATCTGGGCACGGGCTTCGGGGAGGAGGGCCTCCCTGCACTTACACACCCTGCCACACCAGGGCTTGCACCAAGCCTGGGGCTTGGGTTCTAGGAACTCCCATCTGTACCCCAAGGCCCAGCTGGGAAACACCGGGTCCCACTCCCAGGGCAGCTCTGTCGACAGGTGCTGCTGGTCCAAGGAGCCAAACGTCCTTTTCACCAGCAGAGATGCCCCATGAGACAGCCTTGTTACCTGCTGATCTTGGTGTGGGGTGGATAGACAGACAGACAGACAAGCTGGTTACTGGTTAAAGGCCATAAGGAATGCAAATTAAATTTCTGTGATTAAAATCTAAATGTAGGTTTGACTTGCAGGCAAGATTGAGCCGTTCCAGACACTCTGCGTACCACGCACACCCTGGCCTACAAGGATCCTGAGCTGAAGGCAAAACCCAGAGACACAGGTCCTGAGTGTGCCAGCACCTATGGTTCAGGGAGAAGCTGGCAGTATCTCCCCCTTGCATTCAGGTTCCATGGCTGACTGTTTGGGGGAGCCAAGTGCCGTGCAGGGCAGGCTCAGGGACTCGAATTCTCCATCCTGACTGAAGTTCCCTTCTGCTGTTTTCTCAGACCTCAGGAGGGATAAAAGGGTTGGGATGGCATGTAAACATGCCTGCTTGGATATGTGTCCCAGTGTCAGAGCCGAGGAAGGCCGTGGTATAGCTAAGGACCTGAGTGACCAGGTGGGGGGCTGGTGAGAGGGTGGAAGGGGTGCGAGAGCAGGAGCTTTCTCGGAGGATAGGGCGAGCTGTACCGCGATGCCAGTGGAGACAGCCCCAGACTGGTTCCAGCCGCTCCTGCTATGTTGTTTAGACTCCGGGACTTTTCGCAGCCTTGGTGAAGAAAAGGCACACGGGTCAAAGTGGAGTTGTCTCCTCAACAAGGGAGCTCCATGGAATCCATGCTACTTCAAGAGACTCTATAGGGTGGGTGGCCCCGGACTGGGGCGAAGGGATCTCTCCTTGTTGTGAGTGGCTTCCTGCCACTCCCTGCCATCAGTCTCCTGGGCTTCTGAGGGCAGACCATAGGACCTCCGCATAGCTTAACCTGTGTCCTGTCCTGTTCTCGCTGGCCCAGCTGCACAGACTGCACGGCTTCCAGCACCTGCCTTCCCCCGTGAGCGCCCGTATCACATACACTCCAGGCTCATCAGAAGCTACTGGTTAGGGACGGGGTCAGCGTGACGGCTGCAACAGGCCTGCACTCATCCTCCCCTTGTCCTAGGTCTAGATGACTGTGGAGACGTGTGGCGTGGGGAAAGTTGTGAAGTGCGCGCTGGGAGTCTGGTGATATTAATTGCCACACTTGCTTAGCAGGGCCTGTTTCCCAGCAACCCACCTGTTCCCTCTCGAAGGTCACTCTAATTGGCTGAGCTACATGCTTGTTGCCAAGAAGCAGTGTGGAGGCATCTTGAAAATAGAGCAGATGGGCCCCCAAAGGCACCCCAGGGAGGCAACGTGGATGGATAGAGGTTCTTCTGTATCGTGCCTGTACATATAGGAGTACCTGCCCTCAGGGCTCTCCTGACTTGTATTCTCACGGTCTCTTCCACAACTCTACTGCACCAAGCATTTCAAAGCCTGAAGAGGGACGCCAGGGTCTTCCTCCTTCAGCTCTGTGTTCTCAAGTCCTCCACAAGAGTGGGGGATACATTCTATACCGTGGCTTAGCAGGCTGCAGCCTGAGCAAGGCTCTCTAGGTGTGAGAGAGAATACAGTGGTGCTACTGTATTCTTGAGGTACAAGAGAGAAAGGCATGTTCGGGGCCTGAAGGCTGGAGCAAGGAAGTCACAGGCGACGGTCTGTGAGCTCTGAGCACTCTCTACCTCTGGACCTTCTCCCTTCAGGTGCCAGACTGCTGCTCCTGTTGCTGTCACTCAGTGAGACAGGTGCCCAGCACAGCTGAATGGCCACTTTTCACGGCTTATCAGATCAGGATGCCTAAGAAGCACACGGGAAGGTGCCCCAGAGACTGCCTGGACCCGGTAGCTAGGGGCCATCTTTAGGGCCCAGAGACATCGCAGGCTATTCCTGCAGCAACCACTCCCCTTGTCTGATTCAAACCAGCCACAGTCTGAGATTTGGGACCCTGAGAAGTTGAGAGGGGGAACCTTGCTAGTTAAGAGGTGGTCAAGAGAAAGCCTGCAGATGATGTTTGTTTAGGGAGAAACACAGCTTCTTCTGGAAATGGGCAGGATGTTAGGGAGGTCAGGACACAGGACAGTCAAGGTAAAGTGGGATCAGGAGACAGACAGGACAAGGCTCTGGCCTTGAGCCTCCTGATTCTCAGTCATCACTGGCCCTTGTCACTCTAGTGGTTTCTGTTTCCCTCTCCTTTAAGGTTAAGGCTCCTAGCTGCACAGGCCGACTTCAGCTCTGTCCCTGCCACACGCTGGAAGTCTGGTGATAGAATTCCATACTTCGCTGACAGACAGGTAAGAGGCTGCTCCACTAACTTCAAGAATCTTTCTGCTAACTCCTGAGAGAGAACCATGCTCCCTGCCCACCTACTCCTAGCCACTCCCAAACTGGTCCCATGACCATCACAACCCAGCAGCTGCCAGACATGGGATCCAGGCCTGCAGTGAAGAATTGGAGATACAGGACCTGTGTGGTCTGAAGACCTAGAACCTGGAATTCCTGGCTTTGGTAGTGTTTGGGACTAGGGATATGGCTGGGTATGACTCTGTAGGCTAGGCCTGCAGGACCAGAGCCGGGGAGGCGACAGAACATCATCCCATAAAATGTCTAGCACTGCTCCTCCTGGGGGGTACCTGAGAGGAAGGGGTTCCATAGACTCCTAGGGAATACTAAAGGCTTTCTAATCCAGATACGCATACTAAATGCGAGGGCGCATCCAAGGCAGAGGAGATGGTGGCCATGGGCTTAGGGGAGGGGGAGATCTCAAGCTCTGTGGGGAGGGCTGGGGAGACTCAGCTCTGGAGGGGCTCCCAACCTGCCCAGCCCAGGGAGCCACCATACCTTTTCGGACACTGCCATCGGCACAGGCATAGTCCCCAGCACTGAGCAGGAAGCAGGCAGCTGCTTTCTTGTTTCTGTCTCGTGTGCCTGAGCGTCGCAGGGCCCGACGCTCTTCAGGGGTGGGGGCCGAGGCCAGGGGCTGGGTGAGACCAGCTCCCTCCTCATCAGACAGCACCGCGTTTGCGTCACCATTCTGCTTAGAGTCTGGAGGGGGCAGAGAAAAAAGAAGCTAAGACAGTTGCTGGGGCCTTCTTAAGGGAGCCTCTCAGACTCCAGGTCCAGGAAGCAAAAGCAAAATGGCGGTGCCTGGTCTGGAGACTCTTCTCTCAGCTTCGGCTTACAGCCTCCCTTGTGGGCTGGAACACAACACAGACATCCTACAGTCGCAGTAGTCCCCCAATGGGCTTCTAAGGAGGTCCCCGGAGATCAACCCCTGCAGGCACAGATTCTTACTTCCCCTCTGGTCTGGCTCAGGTAGGCTCTTGATGAGTCTGCATTCCTCAGAGAAGACCTGGCTAGTAGGGGTAATGGGTGGTGGCTCGTGTGCCAGGCGTACTCAGTAGTGTCGCTGGCTCTCTCCCTGCACCACTTAAGGCAGTTTATTCGTTCCTCGGGCACCCGGGCCAGCGCTGAAGAGGCAGAGCTCTCTTCTGTCTGGAAAGGTATAGGGAAGAGGCTCCAATTCAACTCTTCTCTGTGGGAACACCTTGTCTTCGTCAAAGAGGGGCACAGCTACTATGGGCCCTGACTGTATGTGGTGGGGTTAACCTAGCCTGAAGACGCTGGCATTGGCCATGCAACACCTCAGTGTGGCCAAGTCAAGCCTCAGAGCTGTGCGCATCTAGGAAGCTGCCTAAGGTCCTCTGTATTGGGACACGCAGATCCTCTCTGAGCTCTGCCTGGACCTCAGAGCACATCTCTGATTCCAACAGGATCAGGGGCACCACTGTGGTAAGGAGCGGAAGGAAGCTTTCCTATTAAGGTCTTTACCAAGGAAGATCCAGACCCCAGTTAATCCCAGAGTGCACCTAGCCCCAGTACGTGTGATGGCTGCATGCCAAGGGGCCACAAGTCTAAATGTCTCAACTCAGGCACCTCTCTGGAGAACAAGTCCCACTTCTAGAGTCTAACCAGGAGCTGCTGCCTCAGTCTCCCAGATCTACCCAGCCCAGCCTCGGTGGCCTGACACCCAGTTACCCCCCCCCCCCCCCAGACCTGGGCTTGTAGCATTCCTGGGAGCTCTGCCTATTGAATCTGATAGTGCTTTTCCTGTCTTCTAATCTCTTTCCATGTTCTTGGGGACCAGGCTGATCTCCCTTCTGACCCAGGGCAGGTGAGCTTCCTGGAGTGGCCCTTCCATGGAAGGTCAGAATCTGATGCCCGGTCTTACTCCTGTCAGGACACAAACTCTAGCACCTTCCATGTCCCTAACCCTCCCCAACCCCCATGCTTTTCCAAGACCCTGGGCTACTTCTTCCCTGGTTCCCTTCTACCCATGTCAAACCCTGAGCCCAGGACTCACTCCAGCTCTAGCTGAGCAGAAGGCAGCCTCCCACGTGGTTACGTATCACATCTATTAGGCCAAGAGACAGCAGACGTGCATGTTGGGAAAGAAGTGAGTCATGTGTTGATGCACCTTGGAGCAGCAGCTGCCCTAGTCTCTGGCTAATCGGATCAGCGCCGGCATTTGCTCTGACTTCTCAGAGTGAGGCGCGTCCAGCCCTCATCTGGGGGCAGGACCCTGATACGTCATTGCTATTGACCTGTTGTGCCTAGAGGGGAGGGGACTCTCAAACAAAACAAGCCCCCCCCCCAGGAGGAACTAGAAACCCTGCCTTCTAACACACAGTCCTATACTCTGCCATCACATCCAACACCGGAAGGACAATTCACTCCACAGACCCTGGTGTTCGCCACGATCATTAAACCATGGGACAAAACAACTGATCTTAATACGCCGCCCTCCTGGAGGCACGCCTGACACACAGCAAGTTTGCACACTATAGCACAGACGCAAATATCAAGGGCCAAGGGAAACTCCCTGACTACTTGGGGAAAAGGAGTCCTGCGCCTACGATCGACTTACCTGCCCGTTTCCTCTCAACCATACCCTCTTCCCGGGCAGGGGGGCTGGTGTCACTGTAGGTGCTGTCCCGGGGCGAAGTTTCCTCAGACTTGCAGTACATGGGTGACTCAAGCTGGGCTGGCCGCGGTACGTGCTTCTTTCGCTTCTTGGGCAGCTTCTGCTTGGCCATGGCCAGGGAGTAGTACATACCAAAATTGTTGACGATGACAGGCACCGGCATGGCAATGGTCAGCACACCAGCCAGTGCACACAGGGCCCCAACCAGCATCCCTGACCACGTCTTCGGGTACATGTCCCCATAGCCAAGTGTTGTCATGGTGACCACGGCCCACCAGAAGCCAATGGGGATGTTCTTGAAGTCGGTGTGGTCGTTGCCCCGTGGGTCAGATGGCCTGGCCCCGATTCGTTCAGCGTAGTAGATCATGGTGGCAAAGATGAGCACCCCCAGGGCCAGGAAGATGATAAGCAGCAGGAACTCGTTGGTGCTGGCTCGGAGCGTGTGGCCCAGCACGCGCAGCCCCACAAAGTGGCGCGTGAGCTTGAAGATGCGCAGGATGCGTACAAAGCGCACCACGCGCAGGAACCCCAGCACATCCCGAGCCGCCTTGGATGACAGGCCACTCAGTCCCACCTCCAGGTAGAAGGGCAAGATGGCCACAAAGTCGATGATGTTGAGCAGGTTCTTGACAAAGTCCAGTGTGTCTGGGCAGCACACAATGCGAACCAGGAACTCTAGAGTGAACCACATCACGCACACACCCTCGATGTAGGTGAGGATGGGCTCTGTTTCTACCTCCCGCCGGAAGCGCACGCTGGTGATGTTCCCTACCCGGTGGATCTCTGTCACGTTGCGGTCGATGTTGAAGGCCTCGTGGGTCTCCAGGCAGAAGGTGGTAATGGAGACCAAGATGAAGAAGAGAGAGGCAAAGGCTACCACCTGTAGGTCAGGAGAACAGGGAGTGGTTGTCACGTCAGCAATAGTTGGCCTCATTGGAAACAGTGACTTCTACTCGTAGAACAAGAGCATATAGGTTACTAGCCCATTGCTGGCCAAGGGATGGGAGTAAGGTAGAGACATGAGAGGATCTATCTGTATGCACTGATGCTCCAGGGCAATGCTTCCCCTAATCTTTGCCAGGGTGCTCAGAAGACAGAGGCTGCTTTGCCTGGAAGCCACAAATCAGGGTATCACAGCTTCCTGGTCCTGACTATTACAGCTCTGCCCAATTTATGCTTTAAGGCTTCTCAAATTGTGGTGTGTGGACAAATCAGTTGAAATCACCTGTTCCAGTGTGGCTAACTCAGGAGGTTTAGGGAAGGGTCTATATCCCTCCCTTTCTAACAGGCCTCCAGATGAAGGGTAGTCCACACACCACCCCCGGGATAATCAGGCTCCCAAAGTGGGGGCCTACACCAGAAGCATCAAGTGTGTGGAAACGGGTTAGACACACAAATTTCAGCAACACAGACCTACTGAAAAAGAAACTTGGAGGACACAGAACCTAAGAAGAACATGAGGGAATCATCTAGGTGACCCTGATATACATCAAGATAAAGGTCCGTTGCTTTAGGGGATGTCCAGAGACAAGGACTGTAAGGAATACCCACTTTCTGTCAACTGACCCCTTTAACATGACCTGCCTCCATGACCCCGCCCTGCCACCTAGAACCACCTTCTGCCTCGGTGGTAAATGCAGGAATGAAGACAAACATGGGCTGCGGTGATTGGGAGGAAGATGGCCCCCAGAGGGAGTGGTACTGTTAGGAAGTGTGACTTTGTTGGAGGAAGTGTGTCACTGTGGAAGTGGGCTTTGAGGTCTCACATATGGTCGAGAGACCTCCCAGAATCCCAGACCACTTCTTGTTGCCCACAAGTAAAGATGTAGGCCGCTCAGCTAATTCTCCAGCACCATGTCTGCCTGCAAACCGCCACGTCGCATGATAATGATAATGGACTAACCCGCCAGAAATGTAAGCTACGCCCAATGAAATGCTTCCTTTATAAGAGATGCCATGGTCATGGAGTCTCTTCACAGCAACAGAAACTCTAAGCCATGGCCTACAACAGGAGGTTGAGGTGGGGAGGCTCTCAGAACAACCAGTGTCTCCTTTTCTGCAAACTGATGTTATGATGCTTAGCGGGACGCTGAGCTTCCAAGTCAAATGAACTGTACTTATCAGGGGCAGAATGGCGGCGGCTGACCTGACAGCCGTGGGGATCTCAGCTAGAATAATGACAGCAGTATCAGGCAGAGGAACGGCTGGACTAAGTGTCCAGTCATGACGAATGGAGATGAGATTCATGTGTAACAACACCAATTACAGAGCCTTCATCTGTTATTCATGCCATGCCGTTCGGTGGCACTGTCAAGGTCCGCTCTCCTGCTACTGGTCCTGCTTGGTGGATGGGACGTGGCTTCCCCCGCTGGGTGGAGAACTGAACCTACACAGGTAACTGAGGGATTTTCGTGGCTGTACAACATTTGACGACTCCGTGCCTGCCCTGCCCTAATTTCTACCTGGCCGTGTCCTTTTCCCCCGTGCAGCGAGCACTCAGCTCTGCCTGTCGGGGCTTTCCTCATAGTGTGCCCACACTGAAAGGGAGTAGGCAATACAAGACACTAACAGAAAACACGGGGGATATGGAAAGCCAGGCAAGACACCACATCCCCAGAGGCCTCTGGGATAGAAGAAGTCAAGGAAGGAACTTTGGTCATGACATTCACCATCTCTTCTCTCCCACCCTACCTGTCTCTCTGCCTCCCATCTCCTCAGTGACAAGGCAGACAGACCACAACTCTCCATTGCACAAAGGAAGAACTGATGGCCAGAGAGGCTGCATGTCTATTCTAGGACCACACTGCCCAGAGCATGTAAGAACCGGGTATGACCCCCAAACCGTGCAGTCTGTATGTTCCTTTATACCATACCATCTTTACTATCCCCTGAGCAGAGCTGCTTCACAGGCCCAGGAATGCAGGCCCCGATGCAGCCTGCGCCAATACTTGCCTGGTGCCCGCTATTCCAGCACGAGGATGTGTGCCTTCCCAGGACAGGTCCCCCATCATAAGACAGGGTTATTTCCCTTACTCTTTAGATGGGTTGAACATAGACAGCAGGGAGAGGAACAGGCTGGGGAAGTGGGTCCATCTACCTACTTCTCCTCGGGAAAGTAAATTTCAAGTGCTTTTGCTGGCTTCGCTTTTTCTCCCCTGAGACATGGACTGCCAAGACAACGCAGCCAACTGCAGGCCCTCCATTAGGTGCTGGTGACAGTGCCTGCAAGTGGCTGTGGAATACAGGGTCCTGGCTCCACCATGTGCTCCAAGAAGCAGAAGGAATCAGAGTGAGGGGTTAGCACAGCACTTCCTGGTTTTGCCAGGAGGCATGGAAGCCCAAGCGCGCGCTCTCTCTCTCTCTCTCTCTCTCTCTCTCTCTCTCTCTCTCTCTCTCTCTCTCTCTCTCTCTCTCTGAGGGACCGTTAGCCAACAGAGTCTGCCCACCTGGGATCCTGAGTGTGAGGTTAATTAGTGATGTGGAAAAACAAGGTCAGGCAGAGCTGCCAAGGGGCTGAGTACAGGGAGCAGAGGCAGAAGGGAGGTGCCCAGCCTTTGCCACAGCCTACATTCCTCAGCTGCCTCTGCCGCAGGTACTGATGGAAGGCCCAGACCACCTTCACGTGGGGCAGAAACATCCCCAACTCCTGTGGTCTCTTAGGCTTTTTTTTTTTTTTTTTTCCACAGAGCCATCCCAAGATTGCCATAAGGTGGTACAGGTCCTTTAGGGCCTCCAGTGACCTCCAGTATTCCTCTCCTCTACATTACTCTCAGGCAATTGTTTCCTAAGTGGTTGGCTGGTGTAATTAGAGCTTTTTGCCAGGCCTCATCCTTGAGGGAGGGATACTGTTTCATTTCCCACAAGGCCCTTGACTCAGGCTGCCCAGGACAAAAGGGATCCCAAGAGACAGCAGCTACAGCAATAGCAACCTGCAAGGGGTCACGGCCTGTGTTTAAACTTTAGCCCCCATGAACAGCAGTTCTGTAGGTCTGTCAATTGTGCCTGAGCCTCCCTCTCATCAAGCCTAGCACTGCCAGCCTGAGGGCAAAGCAGAGCTGAAGAGCCCAGGGCTGGCGGTGTTAGCTGGGTGTCTGCCGTCTCTTACAATCAGTCGGGTAAGTGTGTGCCCTCCGTGCCCCATTCTCTCCTGTACGCTGGGACCGTCCAAGTGCTCACCTCACACCCTCCCTGGAGGATGCATGAGCCGCACCACAGCAGGTGTCTAAAATCTGCTAAGTGCTGAGCTGAGGTGGAGGCAGTCTCTGGGGGAGCCCCCTCCTGCGTCTAAAACTGACACGCCACCAAATCCTCAGAAGTTTATACAAGTCAACTCACTCCCTTTCTGCTCTTGGAGACAAGGAAACCTGAAGGCTAGAAGCGGTTTGTCCTGGAGGCCATGGGTGAAACTGGCAGCTCTCTCCTTGGCAAGAGGACACAGGCTGTGGATTCTAACGGCAGTCAAAACTGTCCAGGCAGAAGACCGTTGGAGTGAACTGACTGTATCTGCTAGGGGAGGTAGCTGGGCCTCAGCACTGGGGACAGGAGACCCTGGATGTCAGGACAACACTCCTTCCAGCTCCCTGTTCCCAAGACAACCTCACACACGTGCTGGCTATTATGGCCTTCAAGGGCCCTGCCCATCACTAAAGGCCTAAGCGTTGCAACTATCAACTCAGTTACCAGCTTTTCCTTCTGCTCCACTGTATTGGAACAAACGAAAGCTCACACTTTTGGGTTCAAACTGGGTTCTGTTATCAAATGCCTATGAGACCCCTGTGACTTTCTTAGCCCCAAGTAGCCTCAGAATCGTCATTTATAAAGAGGAAACTTGAATACTTGAATATGTGCCACTATGCTGGGGCCAGCAGGAAAAATCTAGAGAAACACTTCCGACTTTTGGATCTTGCATCCTAGTGGATAGAAACTGCTGACAGACATCTTACATAGCATATCCAATGGTGTGAGCATTATGGAGGAAAAGAGAAGAAGGAGGCTAAGAGAAAAAGAGAGCTAATTCAAACCGGATGGTCAGGCCAGATCACAAGGACAAGATGAAATCTGACTGGAGCGGTAAAGGAAAGAGCGCCCAAGGCAGCAGGAACAACCGTGCAAAGACCCCCAAGTCTTAGAGGGGATGAGAGCAGAATCTACCTAGTGCAGTTGTTTGAGAACTAAAAGAAATGATACCTGTGAGATTTAGCATAGAGCCCGGAGGGCCCGGAATCTGGCAGAGGCTGGGTGAGTGGAGAGGTGACAGACACTAGTCAATGGGAACTGAATACAACCAGTGGGGGTTGGGCAGGGGAGTCCAAGGAAGGAGGACCAGGGAGACAGATGGACAGATAAACATAAGGAGACTCATGCCCAAAACCTATATTAAGGAAGACGTGTAGGAGAAGGAAAAATTGAGAACACAGCCAAAGACGCTTGCAGAGGAAGAAGATCTGTGGAGACAGGGTGAGGGGCTGAGCCTCCTGGTGAAGTCAGATCTTAGTACCCAGGCAGTGCTGGGTACTAAGTGGGGAGCCCTGGGGTTAAAAGGAAGGAAGGAACAGGGCCTGTCAAGAAAGGCAGCTCCAAGCAGCTCCTGGCTCCTAAGTGAGACATATATGAGGCCCTATCCTAGCTGAGGGCCACTCCCCCTTTCTCTTTTTATCAAACCTGGTTGTGAGCCAGCAGTCCCTAGTTCCAGCAACTAGTGCTGCCCTTCCTGTGAGTCCTCAACCAAATGGGACCTGATCCAACCCAAGTCACTGTCCAAGAGCCTCTCATTGGTCAAGTCCCATTCTGCCATGTCCCATGCAGACTTGCCTTCCCTGGCCAGACAATCCTGTCCCTGACTCTGCAGAGTTGGGCACCATGTGTTCCTATAGCAATGCCTCCTTTTAGCCATCATTCAAGGAGATAAGTCATCACCCCATTTAGAGGTGGGGCTTGTCACTCCTCTCTGCCTATCGGGCTTTATCTTTTACAACTACCACATCACCCATCACGACACATCTGCAATTACTGTTGCCGGTCCTTGTCACTAACGCCTCTCTACCTGCCCTAGCTCTCCCCAGACCACTGGCCTCTTCTTTACCTTTCTAGAACCCAGCCACATGTAGCTACCATGGAGCAAGTGCATAGTCAGTATCTTCTAGATGCCTAGAAACGAGGTAACTGTAGCTTCTTTTCACAGGACAGGCAAGCTGTCAGGAGAAGGGATCATTTAGCTACAGGACTGGGGCGAGAGGTGACAAAGGTATACCCAGAAGTACCTCCAGATTCCAGGGACCTAGCACCTTGACAGCGCTCTAGAGTGGGCCAAACCTACTTCTGACGGGAGTCCTTGCTAAGTACTGGGTGACTATTTCATGGCCAGAAGGAAAATGAGCAGAGAGGTGGGCCATCGTGGTGGGTTGGTAGTACCCAGGCTGTTGGGAGTGGCTGGTACCCAGCATCTAGACTAACAATGTCCACTGTGGAGGTGAAGGGATCAAGGAGCTAGCTCTCCCCATGGCCCAGTTACCTAACTCTCTGCTCCTGTCTGTTTTCTCCTTGGATCTCCAAAAGAGGCTGTTTAATTTCACTCCCCTCCCCCACTCCACATTCTCACAAAAATGGTGACAAACAGAAACAACGCATCATCTATAGACAAGATGCTCTGAGGCAAATGTTGATCACTTCAGAGTGAGAAAGAGAAACAACACTCGGAGGAACCCAAGAGGAACCCTAGAGGCTGCCGGAGGCAGGATCCGCGGGGAGTCTTCAGCCTCTGACCACCCAGGGTAGGCTGGCACTACCCTGCTGGACTCATGTTTCATGTTCACCCTGTACCCAGGCTCAGAGGGCACAGCATCAGCGGTGCCGGCCCTCACTCTGAAGCCCGTCATGACTACCGTGGCTACCAACAATGTCAGACCTCTAAAGGGGCCCGAGTTTTGACCCTCTGCCCCACAACCTAATATTTATTTGTAACCAAGTCTGGCCTCTATTTTTTTTTTATCAAAGTTACCTGGTGAAAAAGTGAGAGCGAAGGGTCAGACCAAGGCAATTCTAGAAGTGCTAAGAAATAAGAAGGGGCTAGGAGTGGAGTGGAGGAGGAGACTCTCCAGTGAGGGCCACCCCCAAGCCCTCCAGAAGCCAGAGACCCTTTCTGCGCTGGAGTTGCAAGGCAGGAGTAGCAGCAGCAGAGTGGACTCTTGAGAGCTAAGATTGGATTCTAATGCTACGGGCTGTGCTCTCTGGGCAGGTGTCACTGTGACTCCGTGTTCTTATCTGTTCACTGAGGTGAACGATTCCTGCCTCTCATGAGCCAGAGGAGGTAGCAGAAGAAAGCCCAGGCCAAGCTCCTGTCACACAGCCTGAGAAAGAGAAACATTCGTGTCTAGCTGCCCTCCTGAGGCACTGGGGATCCTGTGATTAGCCCCTTCTATTCTGAAGGGAAACATGGAAAGAAAAAAGATCCAACCAAGAACCTTTGCCAAAAGAGAAGGACCGTGGCCCTTCATACAGCTGATAGCTGAATTAAATCCATCACAGCTTGGGACTTCTAAAGAACAGAACAAGGAAGCAAGGTAGCCCAGGGTCCCTGAGGTAGGCCTCTAGTCTGTTCTCAGAAGGAACAAGGCAAGATTCTAGTGATTCTCTGAGTGTTGCACAAACCCCTCCTGGCCTCTCCTGGGTTATACAACAGCCTAAGGAAGCCTTTGCTCTGCCCCAGGGCAGTGTCCACGAGAGGCTGAAGACAGAACCAGCCTGCCCTCAGCTCAAGCCACAGAAACAGAACCGCAGGAGCAGCCTGACGACAGTGGAGACAGTAGGGGTGATCATCCTGCCTAGAAGCCTTCCTGAATGGACCAGCTGATAGCCCGGCCAGTAGCTAGGCAACAGGCTCTCCTAATTAGCTCAGTTCACTTTGTATTTGCGTCTGTTTTGCTCCTGTCATAACGTACTATTCAAATGGCTGAACTGCTGTATGTGAAGAGATGCCTCAAGGCCGAGAGCACAGCTCCTCTGCCCTCATGTGCCCTCCTAGGTGACATTGGGAGTCTACAAAACCCCTAGTGTTGCAAACTCCTTCCGGGGAAACTGCAGCTGATTGGGATGGGATGCATACACACCCAACAGTACAGAACTCCTGTGGGGACAGTTCTGCCAACTTGGGGGTCACTGGAGAAAACAAATGCAGCTTCCCAACTCTCTTTACCACTGGGCCCTCAAGTATTAAGGAGTAACAGGGCAAGTGACCCTTCTAACGTCCCCTCGGACTTCTGAGTGCCATTGGTTCCTGGGCTTCTGATGTTTATTCACAGTAGAGAAGAGGCTCAGGACTCTGAGCAGGCTGGAGCAAGGAGCTAGCCACTTCTCGACCCAGCAAAAAGCCTCACCCAGTAGGGAAGGCTTGTGGTAAGGAGCCTCAGCTTTGATTCAAAGCCCTGCAGAAGCGCTGTAATCCCAGGACAGTGGTTTACTTGCTCCCACCCTCCAACTGTTAACTGGACATTGTTTAAAGTTCTTTAGGAAGAGTAGAGATTAATGTAATGTCTTCACAGCAAAGTATTGGTACAGGATGATCAATAAAAAGTTGTTATTCATTTTTTAATAAATTGGGTATTCTCACTCGTGTGACCAGAACGGTTCAGAACTGGTCTCTGCCTGTGCTCCTCAGCTGTGGGCAAGTCTTTTGACACGTGTCAGCCAGAGCTCCACGGCGTTATTCCCATCCATGCTAATGATCTGAAGGTTAGAAACTAAGGATGGCTTTGGCCAGACAGTTAATGTGTTCGAATCCTGGTTCTTCCCCTACTTAAATGGGAGAACTAGCCCTCTACTTGATGGTAGAGTCTCTTGCAATTATGGAGGGAAAAGGGAAGCAGGGGCCCCAGAATGCTCAGAAATAGGGCCCAGTTCCCTCAGTCATCTCTTCCCATAAAGGCTTCCCTGGTTTGGGCCCCTTTCTGCCTCCTCCCTGCCCCATGACTTTGAAAAAGTCTCAATGGCTTGTGATTGTCTCTCTCTCCTAGTAAAGACAAACTAAGGGCCATCAGGGCTAATAAACTCCCAGCAGGGGTGCACTGGCCAGAGGCATTGCTGTGCTCCCCACTTCTTAGCTGGTTTTCAGGACCACAAAGCTTTAAACCAAAGCAGCTAGATTGGACAGGGCCTGAAAAGAGTCCAGATTTCCAGTGGCTACTTCAAGTCCCAGCACTGCGTGGAACCTCTGGCTAGGATCTCCCCCTCCTTTCTCTTCCAGGGAGGAGCTGCATTGCCCTGGCTTGGTATTTATACCAGCCTAACGCATACCTTTAGCTGAATTCTTCAACCCTCCACTCTCCCCTGGGTAGGAAGTGGAACTTTTTCTCCCATGACTAGGGTGAGGACCGGTCCGTGGGGTGTTGAGGAGAGATGGAGAGCAAGGCTCTGAGACTCACTAACATGACAACCTGGGACACTAAAGGAACCAATCAGACCAGCTTCAGCTCACAGAAACAGATCTCAACCACAGCTCGTCACCCTGTCTCTCTTTTCTTTCTCTTGTCTCCTAGACAGCTCTCAGCCAGCTTTGAGGCTAAGGTCCATGAGAGCAGATACCAGCCTGCAGGCTTTTTTGTTTTTAAATTTCTAAAGGCTTCTTCAGGGTTTGAGCTGCCCAAGCATGCCGGAGTGAATGAATACATATCTTTCTAGCACCCCCCCACCACCACCACCTTCAGGGTAGGGACTAGGTCTTGTCTAAATCAACCTGTTTCCCCTTCTCCCCACACAGCCATTTCCAGTGTAACCTGAACCAGGGCTTTCTGGGAAGCCACTTTGTGCTAGAGCAGAGAGAAAAGAGCAGTGACAAGTATGATGCCATCACTAGCAAGCTTGTGGCTATCCCAGAGTGTCCTGGCACCCTGAAGAGCCCAAAGCAGTGGCTTTATCCTGTCCACCACAGAGAGGCCAGACTATGACAGAGGTGCGGAGAGCCTTGAGACAGGGCCTGCTCCCTGGAAGAAAGGTCCTAGACCAGGAAAGGTTTGGGCTCTGAGGATCTCTGCTTCTTATGAGCTAGGCATTCTGGAAACTCTGCCCCCTTCACTGCGATGCTTAGCTGCCTGCACATGGAGCTGCTGGCAAGATGGAAACAGGTTAAGTGTCCATCCCAATCCACGAATTCCTTCTCTTGATCCTGCCTTACTCCCTGCAAAAAGGCCAAATTCAAGCACTCCAGGACTGCGGTCCTGTACAGGGCAACTACGCTGACCAAAGAGGAGCAAGAAAAGCCAAGTTGAAGGCATGCCACTCACTGAGGGGCATGTGGCAAGGCCGACAGCTGGGATTAGGTCCAAGGAGAGAGTCAAGTGTGTGCAATCTCCTAATGGAGCATGCAGGAGGGAGGGGTGACTTCCAAGGGCCCATGAGGGAACTGGGAGGCAGGCAGGTACAGTCGGCCAGGTACGTCAATCTCCTTCCACCTCCCCGCCCCCATCGGACCCACCAGCACCAGCACCAAGAGCCCATTGGACACCGAGATGGGGAGACTCTGGCTTCTGCCACTCACCCTGGCTGCCCGGGATGAGTAGGGATCCTCGAAGAGCGCCCACATTCGGGGCTGCCAGCCACGGCAGCCCCCGGATCCAGCACCAGAGCCCGCGCCTCCCTCATGGGGGCCCAGACGCTGCAAGGCCAACTCCCGCTCATCGTCGCCAGCCTCATCGCTGGGCCCTGCGCCACCCCCGCCCCCGTCCGGGCTCTCGAAGATGTCCAGTGCCTCTTCAGCATCGCGGTGCTGCCTATAGGTCATCCAGCAGCAAGGCTCCACATCAGTTTCATCAATACCCCAGAAGGTGAGCTCTTCCTCGAAGAGAGGCCCACAGACGTCGGCGGGGCAGTGCAGCTTACCGGTACGGTAGTAGTTGAGCACATAGGCAAAAACACCCGGGTGCCGATCAAAGAAGAACTCACAGCCCCCGCCACCGCTGCTGCCGCTGCTGCCTGCACCGCCGCCATCCGACTCCTGCCGACCCCCGCCGTCGGGATCCGCCAGCCAGGCAAGGCGGGTGCCCGGTAGAGTGCGCAGGGTGCTGCGGTAGGTCTCATGTCGCGTGCCGCCCACGTTGATGATGATCTTCTCCGACGCCTCGCCCTTGGCCATCTCCTCCTTCAGACATGTTTTGGACGGAGGCTTGTTCCCCGACTTGCGCCCGCGGTAGGAGGAGACACACACCGAGCTGATCATAAGAAGCGCTGCGGGGCTCCGGCTTGGGGCGGCCGCTGCCCTCCAAACACCCTTCCCAAGGAGGCAGCGTCAGACCGGGGAGGGGGAGGAGACGAGGAGGAGGTGGAGGAGGAGGAGGTGGAGGAGGAGGCAGGAGGCAGTGGCGGCCCCTTCTGCAGCGTGGCTCTGCCCCTGCCTCCCTCCCTCCCCCCCCAGGGCGCGGAGCAGGAGGAGTTGGGTTTCTCTGGTGTACAGGTGGTTGGGATTTGGGCAGGCAGAGCCTAGGGAGGCAGGAAGTGGAGACCAAGGTCAGGGACTCAAGCCAGGGGTCCCGGGAGGTAGGGGCAAGCCCAAGGATGCTCGGGGGCCGGGGACACGCCCCCCTACCCCAGAAAGACGAAGAAGCGCACAGTCCCGGAGCACTGCGAGGGTCCGCGGCGCGCGCGCTCACACTCACGCGGGCCACCTTTTGGCTCTCAGTCCGCGTCGAGCCTGAAGGCAGCTGGTTTTCTCCGGATGGCAACGGCGGCGGCGGCGACGGCAGCAGCGTAACAGCAACAAGTCCTCGGAGCGGCAACCGGGGCCGGGTGGATGCTCTTAGGGTAGCCGGAGCTCTGCGGGGCCGGGCAGTGTGCGGTCAACTCGAGGCGGCGGTGGTTGCATGTGGCCTCTTCCCCCCATTCATAAATCCAGCGCGGAGCACCGATGGCGGGCGGGGCTGAACCGAGCGAGAGGGACCAGCGGGCGGGGGCTGTGTAGGACCAGGCGGCAGCAGGAAAACAAGCACGCCCGCAGCAGAGAGCCCGGGTCCTGCGTCCGCGGCCGGGATCTGCGCCGGGCTGGATGCCGCGCTGCGGGGGCCGCAGCGGGACGAGGGGGGGGCTCAGACGGGGCGTCCTGCGCGGCGCAGAGCCTGGAGGGCGGGGCTGCTCTGAAGAATCTGGCACCCGGCGCTGGCGAAGGAGTATCCCGGGCGGCGGCCGAATGGCCAAGGACACCTGCAGGCTTCCAGGGCCGCACCAAGAGGGAGCCTCAGCGCAGCGCCCCGGCGCCGGGTTCCTGCGATCTGGCGGCGGCGCCGGGAGCCGCGCCATCTACGCGTCTGCCCATCTCCGGGCGGGGCGCCGGCCTTGGCTCGCTGTTAGGGGCGGGCGCGAGGTGGTCTAAGGGAGGGAACGCCTGGGCGCCTGAAGAATGGGGCTCCGAGGGTTCTGCGTCTCCCTCCCGCGATGGCAGCGGTTTTGGCGCTCCAAGTGGCGCCTTTTCCTCGCGGCCCCGCCTGACCCCAGCGCACCCTCCGCGGGGCGGGATGGGCGCGGCGCGGCGCGGCGCCGGGCCGATTAGGTGCGTTGCGGAGCTCGGGTGGCAGAGCTCAGCCTTCCTCCGCGCATTCCAAACCAACCGAGGCGCGTACCCCGCTCACAGCTAGTGCCCAGCGCCGCGCGCCGCCCCTGCGCGCCTCCGCCGCCATCCCCCCTCTCGCCCCTCTCCCCGCCTCTCCCTAGCCCTCAGCTCCACCCACTGCAGCCCTTGGTGACACCCAAGCGCTCTCGACTCCTGACCTCTAACCTCTCTCTTTCTCTGAGCCTCTTCACACAGAACCTAACCTGTGTCTCGCTTGCAGCTAACCCGGTGGTATTGTTGCGGTTTCTTCAGTGCTTCATTGTGGCTGAGTGGAATCCAGGATGGAATAGAGTGGTAAGGCTGGACATCAAAGAAGCTGTCCTCTCCTCCTCCGGAAACACTGTTAGGGCCTTCTGACCACCATGGCCCGTCTCTTGGGCGCTCTAGATCTTGATAGTCATGATCTCTGCCATAGTCATCACAGCCTCCACCTTGGAGCCAGCACAGCATGGCGCTGAGCAGGGAAGTGCTTTGGGTTTAGGTGGAGGCAAGTCCTAAACCTGAGGCTCTCCTTGAAGAAATGGTGAGTGTGGCCCTGTGGCCCTGAAGAGCATCAGGTTGAAGGCCCTGCTCCCTGTTGCTATGAAGGGACCACAGGAAGTGCCACACTCTGCCTTATGCCGTCTTAGGGTCCTATTACTGTCCCATTCCTTGCAGTTTGTCTTTTCCTGTGGTTCGTCTTCTCTCCCTGTCTCTGGGCTCCTCTAGGCTGCACTGTTTTTTTCATATTGCCTCTGAGGACCCATTTGCTAAGTTAATTGAGAAGCTGCCATATCCAAAACATGAAGCATTGGATCTTGCTGGCCGTGTCCCAAGAACAATTTCCATTTTCATTGGTTTTTAGGGTTTTTTTTTTAAGCCCAGCACCACACCTATGTCTTTACTATCCTCCCTCTCCATCTCCTTTGCCTCTCTCTGCTGCAGGCACACTGTGTGATAGGAAGGTTTAAACAGAGTGCAGGGTGATTGACACACCATACCTCATACTACTTGTGTACCGTCTGATTTCTGGATGAGGCAAACAAAACAACAAACTATCCGCAAGCCTGGGGCTTGCCCGTTCTTCAGAGAGAGGTTAAAAGTCCAACATAAATGCAAGGGATTTTTATAAGCAAGGGTCTCATCATGAATGAAGTAAATAATAATAATAATCTTTGATGATTTGAACTAGCACGCAAGCGAGGGCCACACCCTCATCTTCACCTCAGTCAGAAGCGCTCATTTGTGGGATCCTCTTCGTGCACCCCCGACTCCTTAGACACGCTGTCGGGATTTCAGAGTTTGGCTGCAGCAAAAACAAATATTGCAATCATGACTGAGAAAATCCCCATCTCTAGCCCCGGGAAACCGCTGTCCAGTTTGTGCGTCCATCTGCAATCCTAGTGGGGTGGTGATGAGTGTCTGCAGAGAATGCAGGAGGAACCCAGCCAGGAAGAAAAAAAAGGCCACAAAATCAGAGAGGGAGATGAAAAAGCTGGTCTGGAGCTAGGGGGTCCCAAGAAGGGCTCAAGAAAAGAATTGGTAAAGGTGTTCTAGGAGGAGGGCCAGCTCCTACTGGCAGTTTATCCTAAAGCTCTGGATTAACCCACTTCGTGGGCCTTTTTCTCTGGGATAGTAAGGTTGGCACGCCAAGGCCTATTGCTCTCATCTCTGTGTGTGAGGTAATGCTATTATTCTCTTCCAAACCTACACTCCTGAAAAAATGTGAGCCCCCTGCCCTACTGTGAGTGGGTGGGTGCTGCCCCCTGGTGGTGCTTAACTAGCTTGTCCTCTGCTCCAAGGACTGCTTGCTATTGGTTCCTAGTAGCTGCTGGTCCATGGATTCCTGCTGATTCCAAGACCTCAAGGCTTATCCCCACCCTAACATACCCAGGAAAATGCCCACCCTCTCTGTTTTTCATTTCCTAAGATCCTGACAGCCTACAAAAGTAAGTAAAACTACTCCCAGCCCCTGCTTCACCCCATCCTCTCCCCAACTTCACCCTGCGACTTCATCCTATGGCTCTCTCTCCATCTTAGTCTTCCCTCTACTTTTCTCACCTGGGATTTTTCTTTTTGGCTGTCGACAAGAGCATCTAGAGCCAGTTCACACTGTGGAATCAGATAGCAGACCAAGTAAGCTCCCTAGCTAGAATTAAGGGGTTAGCCAAAGAATAAGGGCAGAAGGCAAAGCCGAAATCCAGAGTGATGCCGGTACATGCTCCTGAGCTCCTGTATCCTTTGTAGGGCTCTCGAAGAAGCCTCTCCCCTCCTTACAGAGGCCAAAGGGAAACTGAAAGGCTAAAATCAAAGTCTTTCCCCCATTTAGAACATGTGTATGGTTTCCCTCTTTGGGGTAACAGGCGCTATCTGACCTGTTTTCCACCATCCTTTGGGATCCCCTTTTCTGAGAGGTTCCAGGCCAAGGAACTGGCCTATGGCTATCGGGACAAAGTCATAATCCTTTGGTGCTCACGCCTATCTCTTAGCATTCCAGATCCTGCCAGGGACCAACCCCTCCTTTTTCAGATCCAGGCCAAGGAGCCAGCATCCTTTCCCAGCATGCCCCACTCCCTCTCGGCCCAGCAAATTGAATTGCTTTATCGGAGCTCATCACCAGGCACATACGGCTGGCCTTTATTCTTTGCAGGGTGAGGAGGGCAGGCAAGAAGAGACTGCAAACCTGTTTGCTCAACAGCTCATCTTATTCTTCCACTCCCACCCCCAGGTTCTCGGGCTCCAAATCACATGGGAGAGCTGTCTCAGGAAGGGTCTAGAAAGAACGTACCTAAGACAATGGCCCAAAGCACTCTGGGCCATGTGGAGGCCAGCTACACTGATTCTGACAAGAGCTTCAGGCTCTTGTATTGCTTTAAAGATCTCAGGGAACTCCAGGCACCCTTTGGTGCCCTTCCATCTCTTAAAAGGAAGATACCAGAAAGGTGCAGGTCATAACTCAGGCTGGGTCAGACCTCAGGGCTTCAGAAACTGGCTTAGTGTCATAGGGCTGGGCTGGAAGGGAGCAGGGCATGCTGGGAGGGACCCAGTGCTACCTCAGAGGCATGTTCCTGTTAAGGGATTTCAGGTCTATGCAGCAGCAGTGAACCTTGGAGATGGAGCTACACAGCTGGGTTTGGGCTCCAAACAGAGAAAGCACGGAGGCTTATGTGGTCTCCACGTGTAGGACAGTGTAAATGAGAATCACAGAGGCAGCTTAAGGGACCCCTCCAGGCATTTTTCTTTCAAGGCTGTTGGGCTCTGGGAGGCAGCTGGGACTGAGGAGTATACACACACACACACACACACACACACACACACACACACACACACACAGAGAGAGAATGCGGGGCCCAGCTGGCATGACTCCCTGGCACTGAACATCTCTCCATCCAGAAAAGTACAGATTCCTCCTACCTGGGCTAAGTTCCAAAGGAGCAGGTTCCTTCCAGTAGAGTAGTTAATTAGTACTGATGGGCCGGATCCCCTCCAGCAGGATCCCGGAGAAAGGGGAGCAGCTGTGTGGAGAGACAACTCAAACCCAGGCTCTTGTTAGGTCAGCCATAAAGTGCACAGATACAGCCCTTCTGAGCTTAGCCCTGAACATGAGGGAAGACCCTGGGAGCCCAAGAGTGGCCCCCTACCAGGTCCTTCTGCTGTGCAGCCAGCACTTGGCCTACATGGGGTGATCTTATTCTTGATACGTTTTCTGTTGACTTGCTTCTCTTCTCCCCAGCTCCCAGGTTCCTTCCCACCTAAGCTAGTGTGCCTGGCACCACGGGAAGGTGGACACACCAAGTCTCATTGTGATTGTACAAGACAAGGAACCCTGACTGATCTGAGCCTTTGTGCAGATTCTTAGTGGTTAGTATAATTCTAGGCACTCCAAATACCTGTGCCATGCCCGATGCAAGGGATCAGTGGAAGAAGGTTAGAAGTAGGAGTCCCTTCCATCAGAGCCTTGCAGAGAGGTAGACAATCCACTGGGTTGGATCGGGAAAGCAGGATTTGGCCATGGTTTCCCCTCTGCTTGGTTGTAGGAATTCTTACCCCTGGCCTCTATGTCCTCAACTGTTATATGAGGTGATTTGGTCAGAGAAGCCCTCAGATTCACTTCCTGGTTATTTTCACTGTGAAACAAATTGACCTAAAATGTAAGTTTTACAGTCATTTTCTTTCATTCATTCTTGTTTATGGGCCAGAAAGGTAGGGCTCAGTTGAGCAGTACTTGGAACTCATGCAACTGCAACCACACATCTACTGGTACTGCAAATCCATGAGGCTCCTGAACCGAGTGTTCAATAAGACACACTCCCATGGCTGGTGGTTGGCACGGCCATCGGCTAAGAGCTCAGCTGAAGCTGTCAATAGAAGCATAAACACGCGGCTTCTAGCCCTGTTGTCTCTGTGAGGTACCAGGGCTAACCTTACAAAGCAGCGAGCTCCCCCAGGAACCATTATCCCTAGAACACCGCGAGGAAGTGGAACTCTCCTTGTTGATGCAGCCTTCCTTGCAAGTCACATAGTATTATTCCTCCATTTTCTGCTGGTCAGTGGGGGGATTTGCTTGCCCAAATTCAAGAGGAAAGGTAGAGAATCTTCTTGATGGGAGAAGGGTTAAAGAATCCTTTGAAAATTCACCAACAAATGAGCCGCCACATTCCTGGAGCTTATAGCATTCTTTAGCCCATGCCTATGGGCTGGATGAGGCTCTGTGTCTGGCTGTGGCTAAGGAGCAAACACAACCCTGATGGGATTAGTGAGCACCCACTTCCCTGGAAAGGGACATTCTCTTTTCTCCTTCCTTGGCTTCTTCCAGAGTTAGGCTGAGACTGTCTTTTAACAATGGTCCTGGGATGCTGGTTTATTGCACGGGTAGATGCACTCACCCAGGTTTGGAATCGAGAAGAGAGCTGTGCTTACTGATCATGTGCTAGAACCCCCTATGGAAAAAACTTCTCTGCTAGGTTCCAATTGGTACCTCAGGAGTCCATTTATTTCTTCCAGCATCTCAAGGAAGAGATTTTATTGTCATACAGGGCTCAGAAGGTTAAGTGGCCTGCCCAAGGTTGGTGAGAGACTCATGATTGGAACAACCTCACACTGCCTGCCCCAGGGGTGAAAATGGGCAGAAACTCTCTCGTGTTCTTCAGCATGCCCTTATCATCTTCTTCTTGCTCACTGCCTCCATTCAGGCCCCGAATTTAGCTGCTCACCTCCTCATTAGGAGAGATTAGTTGTGTGTCTCAGTTCTGCACTTCATACTGAGATCCTCTCAGGAAAAGCATCCACAAACATGCCCGTGATGGATGATGGAGACATCCGATGCCCCAGAGTGGGTTTGTTATATGGGCATCCTCCCATTTCTAATCTACAGTGAGGTCTGGGTGATCTATGAACAGATGCCAAGGCCCATAGACCATGGTGGAGCTGATATATCCCCAAGCCCAGGCCTCAAGAAATAGGCAGCTTCCAGCTGAGCTTCCTTTTTTTTTTTTTTTTTTTTTTTTTGCTCTTGAAATGGTCTCCCTGGGCACTGTGAGCCATCAGGTGAGAATCTGGTCCCTAGAAATGAACTGTGTCAGAAAGGTCAGTTGCAGAAAGTCACTCTGACCAGAAAGCCCCAGCTCAACCCCACTCCTACCCATTTCTACGCAAGAATTAGATATTTGAAGGAATGTGAGAAAGGCTCCCCTTGGGACTTCCAGACCAGCTCTTCCATGAACTGAATACCCCTTAGTTCCCACTGATCTACTGGCCTAATCCATACTGGAATTCCCCATTCACAAAATCATGAGGTATGGTATGATGGTTGTTTTAAATTTGGACTGACTCAGAGCATGGTGAAAGATTATTGATTCAGGGTGTGTTATCTCCTTCAAACTATTCTCTCCCCCTCTTCTTCCCCCTCCCCTCTTCCAGATTAGAAAAGGTAGGCTCAGAGAGATTAAGTAACTTGCCTAAGGTCTCTCAGGAAAGACAAGACCATCCTGACACTTAAACTTGACTTTGAGGACTTGGCTTCAGAGCTCCACTGCCGTGAAGCCCTTATATAGTGTCTTAGGGTCCGTGTACCCCTCCTGGAGGGATAGCTGCCATTTCAACCAAATTTCCCAGAAATCTGAGTAGCTGTATATAGAATGACTTGTCCAACACTGGGACATTCCCTTGTCTGAGAGATAAGTAGGGGGATTTGATGGGACAAAAGAGGTGCCTCCCTTGGTCAAATCGGGGCACTGGGTGCTGATTTGCCTGTTGTGGGGGTGTCTCTGGCTAACATGGAGTCTGCCCCATGGTGCATTCTTAATGTTTATTATGAATACTCTGCAGAGTCTGTGACAGTTGAAGAGAAGGTTTCCCAGGCTAAAACGTGGACAGAAAGGGGTTCCTGCCACCTGGTGGCTGCTCGTGGAACAACGGGAGACAGGGACAGGAAATGGAAGGTCCCTTTGGAGGGCCCTGCTGAATGAGACAGAGAGGGCACGGTGGGCAGCGTTGATCCAGACCAGGATGGGGCTGGAAGAGAGTGAGGTTCTTCCCGAGACTGTGATCCTAGTGGAGGCAAGAAAGGGGCTTCTCCACCACCAGCTCTCTCTGTTCTTCACGGTCCTGCATTCAGTGGGTGCTTATATAACAAAACTTGAGGTATCACACCTTATACTTCACCTGTAGCTTCCGCTGAAGATTCCAAAGGACAGCATCTGCAGTGTGTGTGTGTGTGTGGGGGGGCTTTCAGCACTTAGAGCACGGCTTTCTGGAACCAGCCCACTTCCCTAAGGACCAAGTCAGGCCCCTGCCTTTTGTGTTCCCCACAGACCCCTGGTACTGCACCCTTGCAGAGTGTACATACGTTGCTTTTCCCTGAAGCCAGGCAGAGGAATGACCCCTGAAAAGTCCTGGAAGAGGACACTGAGCACATCCTCATAGTAGACAGAGCCTCATTTTCCTCGCCCAGAAAAAAAAATGTAGGATCCAAGCATTTCCCTCAGAGGAAAGACCTAGCTGTACAGTCGCTGAGACATAGTAAGGTCAAGAACAGTGCGCACATCATCAATACCTAGGGAAGCTCCCAGGAAACTGGATATCTATCCTCAAATTTCTCAGCCAGCATCCATGAGAATAAAATCACACTTGTCCCAAAGCTCCCCTCAGCTCCCTGCACCCCTGTAAGTGTAAGAAAGGCAAGAGAGAGTGGTAAGAACAGACACTTTATTGTACACCAGGGTAGGGGAGACGAAGGAGGGGCCCTGGGGTGGCATTGCCTCATCCCCTCTCCTGGGCTGAGTATCCTGACTCAGGGCTCTGACCAGTCCAGGACACATGGACTCTAACTGCTCTGAACCTGTGCCTGGCCCTGAAGAGACTGCCTGATATGTGTTTGGGTCTGTTTAAAGCAGGACTTCTCATGAGAAATGACCCTGGGCCCTCCTCCCCCAGTTCCCTGCCCTTTCAGACCTAAGGGGAGGGACCAGCAGGGTACAGAGTCACAGGTGTATTGCGACCCACCTCGCTCTCATTCCCTTTTCACAGTGGGGCCTACTCTGGTTGGGGGAGGGGTATCATAAGGAAAGGAAGAAGGGCAGTCCCTACCTGTTAATACTTGCAGGCCTGTGTGGGGCTGGCTCACAGCCTCAGGGCTCACACAGGCTGCCTCTGGAGGGCATTTCCTGGCACTTAAAAAGCAGCAGCCCCTGAAGATTTATTGCTTGATGGCAGATGCCAACCTCACCTGCTTTCCCTTGGGTGCCTCACGTCTCCCCCACCACCCAAACTGGGCCTCAGGCTTCACACTGTCTCCCGGAAGAGGGGCCCAAGGGCTCCCTGAGCAAGAGGCTGGTGATTGGGGCTGGGGGACAGGCAGAACAGGGAACCCTTAGGTGTACCTCTGCCCTGCCCCAACTCAATTGACTCACAGCCCCCGAAACCCCTTGTCTCCTGGTGGGCATTGTTTGGGCAGCACTAACCAGCAGCAGTGGGGACCCTGGCCCTCACTGCCAGGTCCTCCAAAGAAGCTGGGGCTGGATCTTCAGTGTCAGGAGACTTCACCTCATCTCTCCTGAGGAGCCAGCAGAGGTCTAAGGAGCAGATGTTGCTTTCTGGGTACTCAGGACTCTTTCAAGGTCAAACGCAGGACAGGAAGGCAGAGAGACGCCTCCCTTGGACAGCTGTCCTAAGAAACCCAGCGCTGTCTGCTGAAGACCGAGTGCCTCCAGGGTGAACAACAGAAGGTTGGCTGGAAAATAAATGGGGCTCCCCCGCCACCCAAGGCTGTCCTTCTGTGTAAGGACAGGAGACATGAGTCACCTGTGGGAAGCAAGCCTTTCCCCATAGCTAGTGCTCTCCGAAGCGTCTGTCCTGAGGCCTCCCCATAGCGCTGAGAGGAAGACCCAGGTCTTCAGAAGGTGGTGAACACTGGGTGGGTGGGTGGGTGGGTGGGCGTATCACAGATCAGCACCTTATGCACTCACACCTACCAATGTCACACACACACACACACACACACACACTCTCTCTCTCTCTCTCTCTCTCTCTCTCTCTCTCACAGAGAAAGAGAGCACGTGCTCTAGGATCTATGTCCAACTCACAGCAAAGATGCAAGCAGGACAGGTTCCGGCCTACAGCTAAAGGCTACGACAAACACTACAGAGCCCACATGGCACAAGCAAGCAGCCTCGGCTCGGTTCCCCTTCCCCCACTCACTGCAGGCTCACAGGCTGGGGCCTGGCCCAGCCACGCTACAAAATTAAAAATATATCAAATATACAATGAAAATAGATCTGCACAGCACTGAGGATGAAAATAGCCCACCAGCCGCAGTGTAATACGGGGTTTGTCATTTCACAGCAAGGACACCCACGTGGACAGCTTGAATGCACAATAGAAATAGCATAGAGAGGGTACAGATAGTGGAGTCCGCTGGGGCCTGCACTTCCTGTTTTCTAATTCTGCTCGGGACTAGGCACGGGGCCAGGGAGGAGGTGTTGTCAGGCGAGGGGGGCCGATGACGGGATGCCGCACCCCAAAGCACATCTCTTCAGGGAGATTCGGACTCCCTCTCACCTCAAATACTAGGACAGGTGGAACTGAGAAGGCTAGAAGGGAGAGAAGGCGGTGAGGAACTGAGGAAAGAGAGAGATGGCAGGCTGAGGGGATGGACCTCTCAGGCTAGGAAGGGAGGTAACCAGTAGGCATAGGAGTAGAAGGTGGGCACCTGGGCCTAGTCTGCCCCTCTCAGTACTGAGGGAAGTCAGGGCCAAGAAAATGACCCCAGGAACCTCTGGAAGTTACCCAGGTCAGTTCCTGTCCACCAAAACTTTGAAATATATATATATATATACATATACACATATATATACACACATACATACATATATATACATTTATGTATGTGTGTATATACATATATATCCACCCATCCATCCATCCACCCTAGTCTGCCAGTCATACATATATATATATATATATACACATTCACACACACACACATATATGGATATATATATCCATACACCATCTCTCTGAGGTCATACTGCAGAGAGATACCCTGATTCTCAGGTCAGTTTCTGAGTCCTTACAGGCTGCTCTGAAACAGTCCCTCTCCCAGGGGAGCTTTCATAGAAGGACAGGGACACTGCCAGAGGCTGTACTTTCCTTCAGGGCCTAAAACCAGAGGCTCTTTGCTTTGCCACTGCCCTCCACCCCCGGCAGCCTCCATCCTGCCCAGAATTACCTGTGCCATATCTCTGAACAGACTGGGGGAGTTTGGGAAAGTTTCCAAGGTGTCTTCACACGAGGTGCACACTGGTGGCTGTGCTTGTGCAACAGGGAGAGCAAGTGGCAGCCCGAAGGGGCAGTGAAATGACCTGTCTTTCCCTAGAAACGGGGTTCCTGGTGACATGGCCCTGAACTCCAGGAACCCCCATTCCAGGAGAGAAGCTGCCACGAAAGAGGAAAGCGAGCTCCGGGTGAGAGCGGAAGAGAGGGTTTCACTTGTGCTCCAAACCTGGGTTGTGCTGGGACCCTTAGGTTGTGCTCTGCAAACCTCGCCTGGCGCTGCCCCTTTTCCTCCTGGGACAGAGGCCAAGACCACCGCCCCTGGCGCCAGGCTGGATAGTGGAGATCGAAAAGTGGCTAAACCCTAGTTAAGGTGACCCCTCCATTCACTGCGCTTCCAGGCAGAATCGGGAACATACCCCGTCTGCCCCTGGCAGGAGAAACAGAGTCATTTCAAAGATTCCATGAGCTGGCTGCCGAGTCATTCCTTTCAGTGCTCAGGTTCTCGCTCAAGCCAGAGGGCACCGCCTATCTCGTGTAAGACAGAACTGAGGAGTTTCCTGACACACGTGTCCCTATCCCCATCTTAGCTCAGGAGCAGCCACGCTGGGCTGACAGGATGACGCGTTCTGTTCTTACGGCAGACTGGGCTAAAGTCTACCTCCTGTGCCCTCGGCCCTGAAGCCTCTGCCCACTGCCACCAATACCAACAGCACAGAGCGAGCCTCCCCAAGACCTGAGAACTGCAAGTGGTAGGTTTCACAGGGAGAGGGAGTGGTGACTCCTAAAGTGCCCACTTGAAGTTCCCCCATACTGGGGTTGTTGTGGTTACATGGCTGCAACTTGGCAAGAGTTCTCAAAAAGTTACATGGGGTGGAGACCTGGACGAGGGGATGGAATTGTCCCCAGTCCCCTGCTCATAGGTAGGGAGTCTGCTGGGACTTGGGTGGGGAACAAGGCCGGGCAGATCCCCTCTCCGTGGACTGGCCTGGGTCTGGCAGCTACCACGGAGGAAGAGACTAGGCCCAGCCAAGAGGGCAGGTTGGGTATTGAGGGGAGGTGGGCAGAATGGCGCAGTGGTCACAGCTCTGACTCAGGGGTGCTGGCCAGGAGGTAGCCGCTTCCATAACGTCCATTGGGATTGCCGCTGCTCTCCAGGGGCGATGTGCTGCCGGGCCCCAGATAGGAGCGGTGGGTGGGCATGGGGGAGGGAGCCTCGCTGGGCACCTTGCTGAGGATGAAGCGGGTCTCATCGTTCTCCTCCAGATTGGAGATGTCCTTCATCATGCGGCCCTTCTTGTAGGACACAGAGAGGGTGTTGGAGCCGTCGGAGAGCAGGTGGAAGTGCCGCAAGATGAACACCACGGGGATGGGCAGGGTTGCCACGGCGATGAGGGTGATCAGCAGTGCCATGGCCCAGTTGGGGAAGTACAGGTAGCGCTCCGCAGCCTAACGGTTGAGAGCAGGAAGGGTGCTGCAGGGCGCCAGGCAATGCCCCTCCCCAAGCCTACAGGCTGATCTTTTCCCACCCTTGCCTATGACCTCCCCTCCTCCCCTCCTCCCCTCCCTCCGCCCCAGATCAAGTAGCAGAAGAGATGGCATCCCCAGGGAGCGCTACTGGAGTTCAGTAGATCACCTTGGCTAAAGGGGGGCTCAGTGTCTACATCTGTAGAAAGGGCAGGCAATTCCACACCATAGACATGAAAAGACACTGCCTTAGAACACCCAAGGAGTATGCTGATTTTGCCCAACTCCAGCTTCTCTATTTATGCTAGAGAAATAACGCCACTCCTTAGGGCTGTCATACAGACTGCACGTTAGGAATACAGGGCACCTGGCAAGACCTATCACGGAGCTGCTGTCCTAGACAGGTTTGTTCCAATTATCTGCTACGGTAAAGGCCCGAGAAGATGCAAGTGGTTCTGGGGTTTGTGGGGCCACCACTCACCTCCTCTTTGATCCAGGCACTGTAGCCTGGGGGCGACACCCCCAGCTGGATGATGCTGGCTGTGGTGAGAACAGCCATGAACAATGGGGACACGAACTTCCACATGTAGAAATAGAAGCGGTACGGTCGGAAGCCCAGCATCTCTGTTAGCTCCTGCATGAACCTGCCAGGCAGAGCAGAAGACAAGAGCAGTAGGCACCTTTGCCACTGAGCCTTCCCTTTCCCCTACGGTCACTTGTTTCTGACCAATCCCTTCTGGGTTCTGTTAGCCTTTGTCTTCAGGGTTCACAGTGTGAAGCCCCAGTGGTCTCCAGGAGGCTCTGGTCTGCCTACTTCACACCGGAGATTTGATTCACTAGGCAGGCCGGAGACCAGTGGATGGGGATAGAAAGCGGAGTTCTCAGGGTGCTGCTGCCTCCCACCTGCCGTGCTCACGCTTCCCCCTGCTGGAGAAGAGGCAGTAATGCACCTACCTAGCAAGGGAAGGAAGAAGCTTCTAAAAATCCTAAGGTCTCTAAATTAGACCGTGTGCTAGAATTCAAGGAGGCAGACAGGCTACAGTTTTGGGTGGTATACAAAATGCATCTTTACCTCAATCACGCTAACCGAACCTGGCCACTCCTTCTGTTGTAAGTGCAAGCAACTCCAAGAGTGTTAGCGCTACTTGTGACTGAATCAGACATTTTCTTATCATAGCCTGCTATGGGAGATACCAGAAACACATATGTCCACCACTGCTTTTAAGGGACAGCCATTACTAGACCCACAACCAGATCTCCAGACTTGTTGTGGTACAAAGAGAGTACACACTACACCACACTAAACGAGGCTCAGTCCGTTTTCAGTACCGTTGGTTTTTTATATAATTATGGATAGCTAATTGCATGCATTTGAAAGGGACACCGTGAAAACAGGCACAGGGGCTTCCACAAGCTGCACAGGAGTCCACAGCACCACAGCCCGAGCCCTTCTGGCAGAGCCTTCCAGCCCCAGCGCGTGGGGTGGACACGGAGTCCGCTGTCCCTTCCTTTTCTCATCCCACCATCAATTTGCTCCTCCTTCCTTCCCTTCTGTTGTCTTTCGAGACAGGGGTTTACTGTGTAGCCCAGGCTGGCCTCAGACTCATGGCAATCCCGCCTCGGTCTCACATGTGATGGAATAATAGGTATTTGTCTTCACCCCTGTCCTGGGTGCTTCGTCTCTTATGCTTTCTGCCCCTCCTCCTCCTCCTGTGCCCTCCCAGGAAGCAGATGTCCCCTGTGAGACACACTGGATTCCAAACCCATCTGGACATCAAGGAGGGTCAGGCTGAGCTACGCAGTGGAAGGCCTGGGCCTCTCTGAGGACAAGGACAGTGAACACAGTAAACACCAAGAGGGTAGGAAGGTGGCAGTCCTGGGAGTCCCCGAGAATAAAGATTTGACTGTAAATAAGAACTGGCTGTAAGTGGAGATCTGCCTTGGGGTCAGGCCATGAAACCAGATCCGACCTTACTGCTAAACCCCCTTTCTCTGCAAAACCAAAACTTGAGGCCAAAACCTATTCCTTAAAATTATAAATCAGGCTGCTGGAGTCTACTTGGAAGGCGGGGGGGCCTGGAATCCCAGCCAAATGCTACACAAGCAGACATCTCCGGACAGGTCTTCGGCAACGGGGCTGTGATAGTTAACTGTTTAGGCTGACGCCAGGATTGGAACCTAGGATCCCAAGGTCCTTAGCATGGCTCTGTCTCTTACTAACCAAGCAGCCTCCAATATTCTTTTTTTTTTTTTTTTTTTTTTGGTTTTTCGAGACAGGGTTTCTCTGTGGCTTTGGAGCCTGTCCTGGAACTAGCTCAGTAGACCAGGCTGGTCTCGAACTCACAGAGATCCGCCTGCCTCTGCCTCCCGAGTGCTGGGATTAAAGGCGTGCGCCACCATTGCCCGGCCCTCCAATATTCTTGTCCTCTTTAGAGGCCTCAGTTTCCTGGTGCCAAGGGGCCTTTAGCTCCCATAGTCTGTAATCTCTTGCCCCTTTCAGAAGCAGCCTCAAGAACACAGGTCTCTCCCGAAAGTCCTCATGGGTAAGAACCCCCCTCCTCCACCTGTCCCCATCATTCCTCTATGACCTCCTTACTTCTTGGTCCCATAAATCCAGGCCACAGCGATGTTCTCAAGGATGACGATGACGGTGAGTGGCAGGGTGGCCGAGTAGTCATCGAACATGGTGACGAAATAGTTTCCAGAGCGCTGGACGAACAACAGCCCCACGAAGAATGCAAAGACACAGCAGCCCACTACAGAGAGCCGAGAGGCCGGTGTGGGGGCAAAGGTGCAGGGTGGGGGGGGGGACGCGGCTACCCCCCAGCATGCTGCTCCCAAGCAGGCCTGCAGCCTGCCCCCTCTATGATTCACAGGTACAGCACGGCCCTGCCCTGCAGGAGAGCGCTGGAAGTTGAGGTTCTGAGCTCCCCCTACATCAGGCATCAACTCTGCATCCCCCCCGCCCCCCCCCCCGTGCTCCCTGCTCCAGGCACAGCACCAAGCCCAAGGCAGCTGCTTCACTTAAATACTGAACTGATCCTACTGCACGAACTGGCTTCGTGGGAGCCTAGGCAGTTTGGATGCACACCTTACTAGACCTGGATGGAGGTGGGTGGTCCTTGGACTTCCCACAGGGCAGGGAAACTTGATTGCTCTTTGGGCTAACGAGGGAGGGGGACTTGATTAGGGGAGGGGGAGGGAAATGGGAGACGGTGGCGGGGAAGAGTCAGAAATCTTTAATAAATAAATAAAAATTAAAAAACAAAACGAAACAAAAAAATACTGAATGAATTGAGATGATTCAACTGATTAGTCCTACGATCCTTTCCCATTTGAGAGGAGGAAGACACTACGCCACTCCTCCTCCCCGGGGATGCAGGGAAGAGGTAGACGGGGATCCTGAATGGCGCATCCGGGTCCTACTATCATCAGGGAGAAGAGCCTTCTGCAGATGGGGTGACAAACCGCCCAATCAATTCAGAACCTGACTGTCACGCGCGTGCCGGGCTGGTGTCTGGCAGGGTGACAGGGAGTTAGTTACCTGTGAAGATCTCCTTGGGCACCTTGAAGGTGTCGATGATAGGCGTGGTGATTCCCGCCATCGTCCCGATCATGCTGCCCAGGCCGAGGTTGATAAGCATCAGGAAGAACATGACAGACCAGAAGGGGGAGGCCGGGAAATGTGTCATGGCCTCAGTGAAGGCGATGAAGGCCAGGCCTGTGCCCTGCACAGACTGAGGGTGGGGCAGAGAGTGGGGGCTACTCTTACTCCAGAAGTCCTCTGCCTCCTTCCCTCTGGAGGAACAGGAATCGCTGTCCCCTCTTTCACAGGGCTCCCCATTGCTGCTTGAACTCTTTCAAGCTTGAAAGAGAGGATCTCAAACCATGGTGAACATCAGAGTCTCTGCAGAAAGTTAGCTGTAGTGACTCACACCTATAATTCCAGCACTCAGAGGGCTGAAGCAGGAGGAATGCCAAGAGTTCAAGGCCAGCTGAACTTCACATTGAGGTTCAGGCTTACCTGGACTACAGATTACGATTGTCTCAAAGCAACCACACTAAACTAAAATGTTAAAAAAAAAAAAGTCCCTGAGAGTTCCCCTAGGGGACCTAATTCTACAGGTTGTTTCAGGACCCCAGTGGTCCAGGTGAAGATGCTCCCATCTAGAAACACACACAATGTAGGACCCTGCTCCTCTAAGACTTCATTTTTGCTGCAGCCACAGTGACCACTCCCAGTTCTGAACTGCTGAATTCCAGACACCCAGGCTCAGCTGTCCAATGGGAGCAACTGGAGTCTTTAAATACCCACCCCTGTCAGGTTCTCCTGCAGAGACCACGATTTCACTGGGCGAAGGTTAAGCTGGTGTGTAACATTTTCTAAAGCTATCGGGGGTCTCGTGGACAGCCCAAGTACAGAGCCATTGCTTTTATACAAGGGCCACACTGCCTGCTCACGGCACTCACAAGTGTCCTGTTACCCGGAGGGAACTTATGAGTTCTCAGTTGTCATTTAGCTACTCTTGAAAAAACCTGCTGTATTCCTAGCGTTGTCAGAAGATCAGGTCATGGCTGTGAGAAGGGGTGGAAAGAGAGGATGCTGCCAGTTGGGCTCCTTTGCTCTTGAGCACGGGAGAGAAGCCAGAGATAGTGGGATGCAGCGCCCACGGACTAGTGAAGCTGTCTTTTTGCCTTTCTTCTGTTAATCCTTTTTATTTAAGGGCACAGAATCAAACCCAGGATGCTAGACAAGCGCTCTACCAATAAAACTACAGCTCCAAGCCACGGAGCCGCCTTTGGCACGGTTCTCAGACACCTCTATGGGAAGCTTCTGGTCTCGCGAAGAAACTCAAGGGCTAATGGGGCTTGCTATCCCCAACATGAGCCTTGGCTCTGGCCAGAGGCCTGGGATCTGTGGATCTGTCTGGTGGGTTTGCTGGTACCACTGTAGCAGAACGGTCATTTTGAAGGTGCCCAGAGGTGCAAATGCGAGCGCGAGAAAGTTATCCCCACCTCAGCCCAAGCACTAAAGGGGAGGAGCACCTCTGCTTAGCCCAGGAGCTGAGTCTCATTGTGACGGTAGAAGTGGGGGCACTGGCAAGGGCAGGCGTCTCAAGGGATGAGGTGGAACAAGGACTCTGGAACAAGAGCACTAATTTATTTTCTTGCTTACTAGCTGTGAGAGACCCTGATCAACCCTCTCCCCCAACCTACAGGCTGCTTATTGATAAAACTGGGACCAATATTCATACTCAACTCATAGAGCTGCCGCAGGGGTCAAAGGAAATGGGAACTGGAGGGAATTAGCATTTACCTGGTCCGCAGCTCTTGTTCTAAGTGGATTGTTTACACGGGGTCCTGTGTAGAAGAAGCCTGCTCAACAAATGGGGATCCCGACTCAAACTGACAAGGGCTCCTGCGATTTCAGTGTTTCCTTTGACCCTCCATCTAATCATAAGCTTCCCTCTGGGCATCCTGACGCTTCCAGCCTTTCTCCATCTGTGCGCATAGTGAGTCTTCACGTGTTAGTAAGTGCATGACTCTACGGCCATGGTTCTCAACCCGTGGGGCGTGACTCCTTTGGAGGTCAAACAACCTTTTCACAGGGGTCACATATAAGATACCCTGCATATCAGATATTTACATTGCAATTCACAAATGTAACAAAACTACAGTTATGGTGTAGCAACGAAATAATTTTATGTTTGGAGGGTCACCACAACATCAGGAAGTGTATTAAAAGGTCACAGCATTAGAAAGGTTGAGAACCATTGCTCTATGGGCTTTCAAGGCCCAAGCTCCAGCCACTGAGCCTGTCTTCAGGTTCCTGCTTGTCCTAGGAAGGGCAGTCTGTTCCAGTACCTTGTCAAGTTCATCCTCCAGGAGGCAGGGATCCAGCCCCAGGGCTGAGAACTGTTTTTCCTTAACAGTCATGATGACGTTGTACATCTCGGAGTAGTCCTTGGTGGTCAGGTGTGAGAAGTTGACGTGAGGTGGAATGAGGTCACGGCTCAAGACGTTGGAGTTGAGGTACCCTAGAATTTTCTCAGCGTTCCTGCATTGCAAAGAGGCCAGGACCGGGTAAGAAGGGAAGTATGGGACCTGAGAGACCCCCTCCCAGAAACCCAGGCAGGGCACCCATAGGCCACTGACAGAAACATCCAGGAGCCTATCCTTGTGGGCCAGGACTGAGGAAGATGATGACCTCATCCCTTATGGGATGGAGGGGGCCTCTCATCCTGCCCAGCCCACCTGCTACCCTTGGGTGAGGCAGGCAGAGAAAGAAGGGACCGGAGGGGTCAGGCCACCTACTCGACCACACACTTCTCATTCATGATGTTGGCTTTGAAGCCCAGCACAGCAAACACCACGAGGGTGGCCAACACCGAGGTGAAGAAGTTGATGAAGGACACCAGGGCGGCATCGAAGTGGCAGTTATTGTCCTGTTTGTTGTAGCTGGAAAAGGCGATGACACCTCCGAAGCCCAGCCCCAGGGCGAAGAAGACCTGGGTGGCGGCCTCCCGCCACACCTGGGGGTCCAGCATCTTGTCCAGCTATGGGGATGACCATGGGGACAAAGACAGAAACAAAGAGATGATGGTGTTACCCATGTGCCCACCATCCCCCACCCTTTCCGCAGCCTCCGGAGCTGATGCAACATGGCCTGGTATTAAGCAGTTGTGGCCGGGAGATTCCAGGCAATTCCCCTAACTCTTCCACGCCTCAGCTTCCTCTGGTGCAAAGGACAACCTCAAAAATTAAAAATGCTGAGTGCTTGCTTACACAGGAGGCTGAACTATAAGAGCATTTGGGTGGCGTGGAGCTATTTCCAAAGTCTTTTTCAATTCAAATTTTCTTTCCCTCTTCATTCCTTAAGGTAGGAGCCAAGGAGAATGAACGAGGGAGGGTTCTAGCATCCTTGGAGTTTATGGTCTAACCAGAGAGACAGACATTGGTAAACTGATCCCACCAACAGATGCTAAATTGCAAACATGGCTGGGACAGTCAGCACTCGGTGTTCAGAATAGTTGTAACAAGAGGGTCAGGATGCTGCCCGGGGAGAGAATCCTCAAGCTGGCCATCTGACCAAGGACAGCAGAGATAAGAATATTGAGGAAGAGAAATCAGTGTGAGCACAGGGTGGCTTATAAAGGACATGGAAGTGCCTGAGGGGGTATGACTGGACTGGTGACGTGGTATAAATGGGCTGGCTCAGGTAGGGGTGCGGGTGAGGTGAGCAAGTGGGGTAGTACAGGTGGGATGATATATGCAGGAGAGGTGATACAGGTGGGTGGAGCCATGGGTACAGCTGGGATGGTGTAGGCAGAAGAAGAGATACAGGTGGGATGGAGCAGGGGGTACAGCTGGGGTGATGTAAGCAGAAGACGCCATGCAACAGTGCTGCAGGGGAGGTTGGTATTATGAGACATTGCAGGTAAGCAGATCGGGGAAGGGGCAGTGCAGGGGGGATAGTTCGGGTAGGGTAGCACGGTGGTGCTGAGGAAACCTAAAGAGGCAAAGGCCTGTAGAGATCCTTGTATTCATTCTAGGAAAACACTTGATCCAGGATACACTAAGGAGCTGGAGAAAGAAGGCCGCTATTAGATGTGCATACACAACAGTCATCAGTGTATGGAGCCAGGAAACTGCAAGGAAGCACCGTCTGGAGGTTCAAGTGGCCTGGGAGAATGGCTTTCCTGCGGCCAGATGGTGCTGAGGGAGAGATTTAAAAGGGAGAATGAAGACCTGAAAGATGAACTGGAGTTGGGTTTGCTAGACTGGCCAGCCATGTTTGTGGTCTCCCTGGAGACGGGGCTGAGGGAAGAGAGGTCCAAGGCACTGGGCAGAGCAGGTCTAGAAGGCAGTTTAGAGAGGTTGAGTTTAATGGTCTGGGGACTGTTGAACAGGTAGACAGTGCAGTTTACTGCAGGGAGCACAGCTGGAGACAGACAGCGAGAAGAGGACAGGTCCTTGGGCCAAACCCATCTCTAGAGTTTCATGCAGGGAAGAGGAAGTCATCTCCAAGGGGGCAGGAGATCCATGGCGGCACGGGGGGGGGGGGGAGGAGGACCTGGATGTGATGCATCATACAGGGAAAGTTCACATTCCCAGTGACAGATCCTCAGGGAGGGTGCCAGCGGCAGGAGGTCACAGGTAGAATTAGCTGCTCAGGGATCCAGAGGTCCTGGAGCCAGGTGGAGGGAGGGAAGGCAAGAAGCCTAGGGAAAGAGTAGAGTCCAGGCATATAAGCTAGTTCTTGGAAGGGCCAGCCTTGGGCAGCAGAGCGGGTATTATCAGGAAACATCTGTGAAATCAGTGTTGCTGTTTTTCTATATTGTGAATTTTTGTTTCAGGCACTATGACTTGATGACTGGATGAAAAACTTGGTGGGGGCAGACATGTAGGAACGGAGAGAGGAACTGTCTTCCACAAGAGCCCTTTGTCCTCACTAGAAATGGAAGAGGGAGAAGGACAGGACAGGCTGCAAGCAGGTCGGCACCTCCAGTTTCTGCCTGCCGTTGGAGGGGATTTTGATTTGATAGTCCTGCCTTCCCTGAAAAGCAAGAGGGGAGGGCGCAGAAGGGTAGATGCTGTATCAGTGGTCATGGAGCCTGGGAGACAAACGGTCCTGGGAATAGGGAAGGGATCGCCTGCACTGCTGTGGGCCACTGCGTGTGCACAGGCAAAGGTCTGCCCTTTGCTGATGTTTGTCTTATGAGAAAGTGTTTCACCGTGTATTTCAGACTTGCCGAGAACTCATGCTTTTCCTGTGTACACCACTATGTCCAACACATTTTCACAGTGTGTGAGTGCGTGTGTGCACGAGTGCATGCATGTGCGCGCAAGTGTGTGCATGTGTGTGTGAGCGTGTGTGTGTGTGTGTGTGTAAATGTAAACTATAAGGGGTGGAATGCCAGGATCCTGTTCTGCTTCTGAGCTCCACCCCTAATACAGAAGTCTGGCTTTTGATACAGGAAGAAATGTTTTGACTTTTGCTTTGTTTTGATTTTTTTTGTTTTGTTTTTGCAAAAGTACCCAGGTCGAGGGCTCCTATGTAAAATCTTAGGACGTGAGTGAGGCTTTGCTTCTGATTTTAATTTAGGACAGTAATATGGTGCCGTGAGACACAGCCACATGAACATTCCCCAGCAAGATTTGGGGCGGGACCCTGTAATCAAACACTTCGGGATGTCAGCAGCACAATAGGAATTTTCACACCAAGTGAACCAATAAGGACTATAAATAGGCTCGCATCTGTGCAGGTTGTTTGCCCTCCAAGTGAGTTCTACAGGAACCAAAGCACCTTTTTTTTTTTTTTAAATTAAGAAACAGGGGTCTGTACTGGGTATAATAGGAAAGCAGAGATTAGAGAAAAGGAGAAAACAGTCACTGGCTTCTGAGAAATGACTCTTTAAACACCCCTCTCCAGAAGGCTCCAGAAATGGGCGGAGGGATTACATATACTCTGTGGTTGTGCTGGCCATCACTGATGTTTCCTGATGTCCACTGTGACGGCTTCGCATGTCTTTGAGACCTAAGCATGGGACTTTGTTAGGATTCTTGTCATTCCCTGAAGCTATAGTGAGAATGCCGTGATAGGTCAAGCCCCATCACCGTGCAGGGCAATTTTCTTAAATAAAGGCAGCTATTCCAGGGGAGACAGCTCAGTTCCAAACTGACTAGTGGGTCTGGTCTAATAGCTTGAGGGACATCTCAAAGGACAGGGCAGGGTTCAGGTACATGCAATCATTTTAGTTATAAACAACTGTTTCTTTTATTAGGACCACAGCTATCATTACTCTTTTTTAAATGTGGCCCATATATTATAAAATGAACAAAAGTAGAGACAGGCAGTGCAGCCAGCCCCGGCTATAGCCATTGCCAGTTTAAAACACGATCAACAGGAGACCGATCTCGTTCTTCTCGATCCCCACCCCCACCCTTAGCCCTAGATGATTTTGAAAGAGACTGATAGCTACAAATTGAGGTTTGCGGATCCATAAAAATCACCTAACACTAACGCTCGTCCTTGGAGGGGTGACTGCCCTGTGTGAATGTTCTCCCACACCCTTGCTCCTGGTCCATAGCTTAAATGGGGGAGCTTTTGCTGCTGGAGATACCCAAAGCTAATCTGGACGTGGACTACATCAGGAGGCTTCGGGACAGAACTCCTGAGGTTACTTGATTTTAAAGGAGGCTCTTGCCAGGCTTCACGGGATGACAGTATGTAGTTTCAGCAAGTGTCAGCGTAGGTCAGTTGAGACAGGATGCTCCACGTCCCTTCCAAACATTGGGATGAGACTACAAGAGGAGAGGCGGGCAGGGATTTTCTGCTCTGGAGAGAAGCCTGGAGCCCTGTGTGATGTAGCACTGGCTTCCTGCTGTTTCTTTCGCACAGCGTCTAAGTCACTTCCTGCCAAGGGAGCGAGGTATTTTGCAGCACAGAAGATGTTTTCTGAATGCACAAGCAGCTGCTGAGCACCGGCCTGAGGGACACGTGACAGCAGCCCACGCGTGACGGAAGCACACACCTGCCCCGGCAGAGCCAGACTGAGCTACAAGACACCAGATGGCGCCGGAGTGCAGAGTTCCCACTGCCTAAGAACGGTGTCACCTTCACTAGGGACAGAGACAATAATAGCTGTGCTTACCATGTGTATCCCACTTGCCAGGAGCGGTCCTATGAGCTCTGCTGACAGCTCTGCAGAGGGGTATCACTTGCACCCCCTCTTGCAGCTGTAGAAGTGGGCCCCAAGAGCCAAGGAACCTCCCTAGTGGAAACTGGGTGGTGAGCTGGTCACAGGGGTCGCAAAGCTGGGCATCTTCTTCGAGAGGTCTTTGCTCAAACGGGAGTCAACAAGTCCCACAACCAGACTGTTTGACTGGGATCTTGGAACCTGCAGGGACCTCTCTGCTTTTCCTTGAGAGTTAATATATATTCTTAGTCCTTTGGGCTCCTGTAGTGATATTTCATTTGTATTTTAAGGATAAAGCTTGTCTGAAGTTCAGAGAGTAAAACAGCCACACTGATCAGCCTTAAAGACCAGACAGTGGTGATACACACCTTTAATCCCAGTAGCCACGCTAGTTTGCCATAGAAATCGGGCAGTAGTGGTGCATGCCTTTAATCCCAACACTAGAGAGGATTATAAAATGGGAGGAGACAGCTCTCAGATACAGTCTCATTCTGAGATTCCTGGAGGCAGAATCGCCATTTCAGACTTAGGTAGAGAGGTAAGACCAGTGGCTGTTTGCTTTTCTAACCTCAGTTTCCGTCTCTGGGTTTTTATTAATCATGCTACAGGCTCCTTTTCTTTACCCCTTAATCTCAGAAGTCTAGTTTCCTTCCCCAGAAATAAGTAACTGTGATTTTTGGCTTTCTGAGTATTATTCCAGAGGTTCAGACAGACACCAGCACATGAGACAGACATCTCATGTTACAACATATATGTAGGCATGCGTGTGTATGTTTCTCCCACACTCCATGGAGCTCCCCCTTGCTTTTGGTCTCCACACTTCCGCAATGGGCTGAACTGGCATCGCAAAGAGCCCC